ATGATGAAGACGCAATATTACCTTTGCAATTCATCACATTTTTGTGCTGATACCCACTCATGTAATATGGAAAACAGGAAGAAAATAAAAATAAATAAATAAAACCCCAAAACCACAAACAAACAAAAAAGACAGAACTAAGGAGGGGGAAATGAAAGGCAAAGGGTAAATGACGAATTAACCAAGAAGAAGAAAGAATAATGAAGTGTGGTCATGCCAAAAACATTAAAATCAGAGTGAGAAAAACCCATGATTGCACACCAAAGAAAAAGAGAAACAGATAAACCAACTGGGCACCAAAGACCAAAACTCTTAGAGAACAGAAGCTCTTTTGCTACTAATGCATTAGCAGTATTCAGGATTATTATAATGTTCCTAAATTTTTATTTCCCATCTCATTTTACAGGCAATGGCACATGAAATTCCAGCATGGAATTTTGAATTAGTTGGTTGATTTGAAATAGAACCAGTATTTCATACGTCAGTCAGAAATCCCTGTGGTCAAATACACTATTGGTAGTGATCTTCCTCCCAGGTTTTTCACTGTGCTTCAGGGAATCATCACACAACTACTGACCTTTCCTCACCCCTGTAGATTAAATGCTGCCTTCCATAAGAAGCAACCAATGAGGAGGAGCAAAGGCAGTGTATGACAACAAGCACACACAAGTGTTTACTCTAAAATGATAGCAGCAGTTTCATGATGAAAGTTACTCAAAATTGGGAAAACTGACTCATGACCAGTTTGCAAAACTGCATTCCCTCAGTAGTCCAAACACTCAATTCCTTTCTACAGGACTGCGTGGAGGCAGGCAGGACTTACCTGTGAGAACTGGGAAAACTCAAAGGCAGGTATCTGGGGCAAAGGCAAATGCCCAGCTTACAAACAATCACATTCACAACAGGTGAAAGATCCCTTGGGTTGTAAAACATCCCTTTGCCTCTTTGTCCCAAGAGAGGCCTAGAAAACAGTCATTTTGCTGACTGTAAAGGGTTGTGTGGGCCCTTCTTTCTCTCCTCCCCACCGTCCCCTGTGAAGAGGTGCCACCTCTTCAGTACTCAGGCCTGAGGGATTGGGGAGGAGAAGGCCTGCTTTATATCAAGTTTTTGCCTTCCCCAAGTGGAAGAGGACAAGCCCAGCAGCTTTCCTGCCTTCCCCAGATGGGAAGGGACACCCACAATCTTGAGGAAGGTGACCTGTCCCACCATCATCCAAGCCCTTACTCCAGACCATCATCAGCATCAGCTTCACTACTGCCCTGAGCCACACCACCACTAGCAGCATCCCCACAGCTGGAATTTGTCCTGCTGAGCACACAGAAGAGCTCCTCCCCTCATACAGCAGTCCCCTTCTCCTGCCCATGCTCAACCACGCTCTGGTTACTGTGGGAAGCTGTCAGGGCCTTGCTGAAGTCAGAGTAAATGGCAGTCACTGCTCTCCCCTTGTCCCATTAGGACAGTCACCTCCTCAAAGCAAGGTTCATGTTGTTCCCAGCACAATTTGTCCTTGGTGAAGCTGTGCTGGTTGGTGCCTCCAAGCCATCTTTTGTCTTTCGCTGCTCTGCCCTTGTACCACTAGGCCTTCCAAATAAGCTCTTCGCTCAGGCATGGTGTGATGCTCTTGTCAAATCCCTGCTCAATCCTGCTACTTGATACATTTTGCCTCCTTGCTGTCCTGGATGAATGAATTTCCCACCAAAGGCCAGGAGGACATTTTATCCCATGGTTTGCAGCAGGTAACTCTTGGATTACATTCTGCTTCTTAAAAACTCCTGTAGTGTCACAACAGCTGCATCTATTTTCTCCCACTACTCAAGTGCAAATTTATAATCTGAGCTATTGTGACAGAAACAGATTCAACACTTGGCTCAAAGCAGGCTGAAAAGCTGCTCTTGCCCCCATACAGCAAATAAATCTATTTGTGTTAACAGAGAACTGATGCTGTCTCTGCAAACTCATCATCAAGGGAGTTAGAAAAATATTTATAAAATTTATAACTATTTATAGTCCATAAAATAAAAAACACGACACAGCTCTGATGAGAGAAACTGCAATGAGAAAAGGTCTTGGTTTGATTAAGTGTTTGCTGGGTAACGTCTTCAAGTTACGGGATTTTTCGAGCTACAGAAACCACTTGCTGATGGCCCTCCTCCTCTTTACTCCCTGCTCTTTTCCTCTGAAATAAACAGCAAGGGACACAAAGGAACAGACTTCCTTGATTATATCCAAGTTCCCTAGTGCCTTGCACAAACACATTTTAAGCAAAAGAGCAACAGAAGTGACTGACAACATGGAAGGTGATCATTTTTATGTCATTCAGTCTATGAGCAACAGAAAGACTAACTGCATCTCTTGCTAGGAGGATCCGTTCACTCCAGACAAGGGCTAGATAGATGCAGTCTTAGCTTTGTACACGTGCTATGTCCTACGGAAGAGTGGTGGAAGCTGGAACATAGCTGGTGACTTTTAAGATTTATTAACTTAATCATTCTCTGCTTTTGGTCAACTTGAAAGCATAAGTATTTTGAGGGTGAATTCATGTTGTATAATGCTGTCATAGTCTAATAAGGGGCCCCCTGGTGATCTAGTGGTTAGGATGCAGCACTCTCACCCCTGTGGCCCGGGTTCGATTCCCGGTCAGGGAAACTCCCCCGGGCAGATGGAGCTCGTCAGCCCTGTGAGGCAATCCATCTAAGAGAAGGTCACTCTAAACAAACCTACGTCCTGAGGACCTCGCTGCCACTGTCCAAGCTTGCTCGGCCCCAGCAGATGAACCTCAGGATTAAAGGGTGGGCTCAGTTCAGCGCACACTGGGTCTCACCTAAAAAAAAAATCCATTGCGCAGGCTCGAAGGGTAAAGACCTTTCCCAAATCCTCGCTCACGAAGACTGGCCATACCTACCTACCTATACCTAGTCTAATAAAGAAAGCAACTAGAGAAGTTTCATTATTTGATAATTCATAACACAAATAGAGCATCTTCTTCCCATCCTACCACCAAGTATTAATATTCATTTTGCATGCCTCTTATAGACAAGGTGAACAAGCCATTTTTAAGTTCCTACCCCTGTAGCAACAACTCATGTTCAAAAGAAAGGATAGCTGCTACTTTGTGACAGAAGAAATGGCTTACAGTGGCAATTATTTTTCAAATGGCAAATTAGGCAAGGATAAACTCATGAAAAATTGTTAGCATACTCTCCTTATTTCCATACCGAAAATCACAATACGGTTTGAGTGGAATGCAAGCTAACCTAGAAGCATTTTGATAAATCCTTAGGTACAACTGAGCAAGAGAGAGGAATTTCTGAAAACCTCAGAAGTATCATTCCAAAGAATTCAAATGAGGCACCAAGTATAGGCTTCTTCAAACAAATATGAATGACTGATACAGACTACCTTAGTGAACATACAGACCGAACTCCCTTGCATATGACAAGCAGCTTCACATTCCACATTCTCCAGACACTGGCTTTTTCTCATCATATTGGCAGTTACCAATGCATGCTGGCTCTTTTCTACTCATTTTCCTGTAGCTTCCCTAATATTATTTTCTTTCTTTCCTCCATTCTAAACTCAGAAATATCTTGGGTCACCTGTGTCACAAACTTAAAAAACTTGCAATTGCATTTAATACAATCCTCCTCGCAGAGTACCCATTCCCAGACAAACTATATCCTATTTTTTGACACTGTTTCCCTCTACCATGGGCTAAAGAGAACAATTTGCGAGACAAATTTTAGTTTCTAAATCTGCTCACATTCTTCAGTAAAGATAGAACTGAGATATTAACCATGTGATCAATGAAAGCTCAATAGCAGTCACGCAAGAGAAGGGCTATTAACTTTTTCACAGAATTCCAAATTTGTTGCTTTCTACCTGAATTGCCCCTTCATTTTAAAGACTACAGCAGTTAGCACTGTTGTTCAAGATCCTACACAGCATAATATAACCTTTCCATCATTAAAACAGCAAACATCTGGTAAAGAGTTTGGGAAGTAGCTCTAATACATTGACTGCTTAAAGTCTATTCATGTTTTGTAGGTATGCACAAGATGACACAAAGCAGTGGTGTAAGAGGCAATGGCTGTACAAAGTTTAGCATGGAGTCTGCTCATTTTGCCCAAACCATCAACTTTTTTTAAAAAGTAAGCTGTGACTTAAACACCTTATTTAAAATCTATTTTATTACATTACCAACATGTTAGTCTTCCAAGCTGCTAACAGGTGAAAGCTCATGGTTTCATTCATCTGTGATGAATGAACATTAGCGCCCCAAAAATTGCTTTATCATGAAATCTCAGTGAATCATATTTAAAAACACAAAAAATTCTCCTTCAATCACTGTAGTAGTTTAGAGGTGAAACCTAAGAATGGTAACTGAGCATGAAACACTGTGCATGAACTCTGGAGGTGCAGTACAGTAGTGTTTTAAGTGCGATAAGGAGAGCACTCCACTGTTGTTCCTTTTGATGTAATTTGTTTTACGGAGATCATGAACTAGATTTTTTCAGATGACACTGATCTGGAAAATACACTCCAGGAGCATACATAGTACATTCCAGGTGCAAATGGGCACTTATTCTTCAAGATTGGACTAAAAATAGTCCAAACTAATTAATTCTGAAATGTGTACAGCACAGATGTCAGGTCCTCCATTTCAACTGTTTTGCTGCGTGAATCTACTCCTACTGAGCTGCACTAGCTGTAACTGCAAATACACTGCTTCCTGATGAGTTAGGGATGTCATGGGTGTATCAGTTTTATAAAACACTAGTATTCATGACAGCACAGACCTCTGAAAAATTTTTAAAGCAAGTCCAATCAAATTGTTCTATTAACAATCATGGTGGGAAAATCATTAATGCTGGGTTCTTGAAAATCTTTGAGATTTGCAATTCATCTCTGAAACACAAGCTATTGCAACTGTTAATTGTTTGCAGTTGAACGTGAATTTTAAAACAGAATTTTCAAGAAAGTGCAAGAAATCAGCAATATACCTTATTGCTTCCTCCACGGATTGGCCAACTATATTTGAGGAGGGACCTGGCTGAGATAAAGGTGTCAGGCTTATCACCCATTTTACTGGTTTGTAGTACTCATCACTGGAGCTCAATAGGTAGAACAGTGTGGTCAGAAAAATCACCTGCAAAACAAATTGGAGTTTTAATTTAAAAGTCAATAAATACTTTCAAGAATTACAATGTGCAACTATGTTTTGGATATTGAAATTTACTGGAAAGGCACAAGATACTCTTCTACAAGTCTGGATTTAAAGAAACACACCAAGTTAAAAGAATAATTTTCTCCCTTGCCCCACAGAAGACTTAACACGTATAGCTAAACATTATAAAACTTCTGTCTCTGTTTAGCCTCTTCCCAAAGTCACATCAAGATCAAACAACTAGAATGTTGATCTAGATCTGGAATGTTGTTCAACATTCTAGTTGAGGGTTTTTTTGGTTCTTTTTCAGTACATATAACAGATAAAAAAATTGCTGAATAGTAACATCTATTATCAAAACAAACAAACAAAACTGCCAAATAAATCTGAGCTGTCTCAAGAGTCATTATGCAGCTGGGTATCAGACAGAAATTACACAAAAACTCACAAACATAAATTTTATGTTAAGCTGGCAATCCTAAATGAATACTCCTTCTGTGAGTTTGATGATGGGTCTCAGCAGAATTGATGGCAGTTCCATTGTTTCAGTTTAAAGACATAAAAATTACAATCAGATGGGATTAGCTTTCTGTATGTTGCAGTTGACTGTGTTTCTTTTATTTTTCTGTTAGTGGGTTTAGTAACTTTTGGGATAAGCACAAATCACAGAACTGTGTCAGTCTTGAAACAGAATACCTCAAACAAGAAAAATCCATTCTGTATGCTCCAAATGTAAACTATGACTTATACTTGCTTTATCTACAAGACTTAGATATTTTTTCTTTCTTCTCAAGATTAGAAAGGATTCTTTCACTTTCCTTATTTCCAACCTACTTGTATGATAGAATAAGCCACATCTTTATCTTTTCATGAACCAAACAGCTCAGCCTCCCTAAGTTTATTACTTTCAAGTATTTTATCCAGTCTGCAGATACCTCGTGTCCTTTTCCTTCATTCTTGCTGAAGATGCTCAGAAAACAAAATGCAGACAGCACAACATGCAGTATTTAATTACCAATCTCAAGAATGCCATCCATCTGCCTCTGTTCCTAATTCCTTTATACTCAGTGAAATGTTACTACTGCTTCCCCCTACCCTACACTTCCACCCTTTAACTTGAAAGTCACATTTAACTGTTCACCTACTACGACCTCTTTACAAAATGTTATATATTGGTTTAGGTTGTATTCCATCTTCTCAGGTGTGTAACTCCTGACTTGGGTGATAAACTAATCAATCTAATAAAACAATTACATTAGCACATTTCAACAGCATGCTGTTAACACTCATTTTGAGATTAAAAAATAAATAAATTGCTTTAATGGGAAATAGTCTAGTGCCAGTAGCAGTGTCAGCTATGTTTTTTCACAGTTTCAAATAAGAAAATCTTAAAACTTGCCTTAGATTTTACCATCCTCTGCAAAGCTGCAATTATGGTTATCTTCTCCCTTGACGGGCTCTGCCATTTCTCCTAAGCTACTGTCATATTTCCTGATTTTACTAGAAAACTTTACACTAAAGCAGGCACTCGGTGTTGTCTTCCTTCCACTGAGCTCTGCCTACAGATCCTTCTTGTAAGTGCAGTTTTCAACACAGAAAGCAGCATACTGCTCTAAGTACAATATCAGCTCATCCTGACTGTTCTTCCCCAGTGTTTACAGGAGAAACTTGCTTTCTTAAGTAGTAACGACACAACACACACCTGAATTGTAAAAGCCAAAGTGATGGCTGGGAATGAACAGGAGTGGAGTAAAATGGTGTTGAACTGAACTACAAGCTAGGAAAAAATACAAACCTAATTTCTGCTAGGAGAAGATGGATGTAACCACAGCACCATACAAAATTAACTGAATTTTAGAATATCTGCATTTTGAAAATTTTGCATATTTCCTTTAGCACAATAGATACAGAAACGCAAAAAAAAAAAAAAAAAAATCTGTCGCTGCTTCTTCAAACAAGTAGAATAGCCTCAGCAAATTCAGCAGCAAAATGATATGCACTATCTTGTATCAACTGGAGCATGAAAGTTTTCAGACCTCTTTTACAGGATATCTGAGATACCTAAATTGTTTCCTAAGCAACAGTTCAAGATTCTGTTGATGACTATGAGGAGGAATTTACCAAAGATAAACAGCAGGAACTTTCCATAGTTAAGCAATTGGTGGATTACGATATCTTGCTGTAGAATTTGTACTGTAGCCAAAAGTATTAAACACTAATTTGAGCAGGGACAGACTGAATTCAAGGAGAAAGCTGTGGGTAAACACTCTATACCAAAATGATAATTCAGCATTTCCACAGATATCAAGAAACATATGACCTAATTGCTTGCGTGTCAGGTCCACTGACTCACTAAATATTATCCTATCTGCCTTTCATACTCAATTTTCTGCTGAAAAGCTTTTTGGTTTTGTTTGTTGGAGTTTTTTTGCTTGTTTTGTTTTTTTTTTGTTTTTTTTTGTTTTGTTGTTTTTTTGTTTTGTTGTGTGTTTTACAGCATCAAAAATCTGCATATTCCCTTCAGGACTTAGATGCCCATCAACTGAATTTCTCTTCCTATCTTTGTAACAGAGCATGAGTAGAATGTGTGTGTGTGCATGTGCATGTGTGAATATACATGTCTGCATATATATATATATATATATAAAAACCCACAGAAAGCCATTTACATACATCCATGTGCATGCGTGTGCAGATCGGAATTTGTATTCAGAAGTGAAAAAGAAGTGGCACTTCTGTAACTAATGATGAGTTTTCAAATGTCTGTTGAGGATCTGACTACAGCCTTGCTGGATCATGGATGGATATACTACAAGGACTGACATTCCTAATGTATATTTTGATGGAAGATATATTTTTCAAAATGGAGGTTCTGAACAAAGTGTCTATTACTTCTGTGTTTTAAAGAATAAATTTTTGAATCATTTATCAAAATGAAATTCACTATTTTTATTTTTATTCAAAATGACTAAAACAGGACTGTAATATAATCAGTTGAAAAGCTAACCACTTTGAGCATAATCTTGATGGAAAATTTAAGTTAGTTTGTGCCACTTCAAAATAGTAAAATTTTTTCTCTAGCAACTAAGAATCCTGCAAAATGAAAAAATAAGAGTATAGTTGAAGCATCTAATTTTTAAAAGAATTCCAATACAGCAAGACACCAACTAGCTCTGCTAAACCAGCTGATTGCAGTGACCCGCATGAGGCAGGACCTTGCTGACAGATAAAAAGTCAGGATCATGCATCATAACAACAGCATGCAATGAACTTATACTAAGTCATTAGGCATCTAAAGCTAAATTTTGTGTCTGAACACGAATATCTGGAAATCATCTGCAATTAGCATCCAAACTTGTAATTTTTAAGTATGCTAACATGTCAGACACTGTTTTCAATGCGCCATCACAGGTGAAGTTGTGGACTAAGGAAGAAATTAAATGTTCTCATGTAATCTTTACTTAACCAAATGACAAATAGAAAACAATTTGCTGATTTCCCTGTAACGATTTTTTCCATCTTCTGAAAGCAATGGCCTATATAGGGATACGCTTATGAGGACAAGTCATAAGATTTCCCTAGTTGCATAGGTTATCACAAGTTACAGCTTAGTATCTTTAAGGCCTGAAACAGGAGTTCTTCATTAAAAGAATGATTGGAAGACTACCAACTCCCTAATGTGGGAATTACACAAATCTTGCCCTCTTGTCTAGAATGCCCCCAAACAGATATAGAATTTGCAAAATCTTAAAGAATTTTGGTATTGGATAAATGTAGATGTTTCCAATACTTTAGGTTTGATTTTTCACTGTTACAACATGTGTAATTAGGTTCCTTCAGTAAAGCAGACCATGTAAAACCAATGACATACTACTTACCACAGAAAGCACAAAATTGAGAAGAGCTGTCCCACTGTGGAAGAGGATTGTCACTAATGTTGTAACTGTAGTAAACAAGAGGCTCACATTGCGACTCATCACTATCCACAGAGACTCCAGAATCTGGAAAAGGAGGAAGAAGCGAAGGCAAAGTCAGGCATTGGATGGTATTAGCAAGGACAGCAAATTGCTTACAGAGTGATTCATCTCCATCAAGTCATAAAAAGATGAAATTTTTTAAAAAAATCATCTTCCCTCAGTCCTACATTAGAGTAGGTAGTATTAAGTGAAAATGTCTACTTTACCAAAGACAAGTTTCAATGTAGCTGGTTGCAAGGTTTTAAAATTTTTCTCCCAATATTCAAAATTATTTCATTATGCAAAATTGCAAAAAATCTAGATGTAGTGACATCTTGTTTATGGTCATTAACATTGCTGTCAAGCAGATCTTGTCTTGTGAGAAAAAATTCTTTTTTTCAAAAGCGGAAACGCTAAAACATAAAGAACAAGGAGTAACATCACAAGGCACAAATAAATTTGAAGCTTCAAATCAAAAAATAAAATTACTACTTCAATAAATTTGTTTTTAAAAAGTTTCATGGCAATGAAATGCATTTTTTTTATAATAACTGCAGCTGAATGCACAAGTTGTGATTTTGAGTAGGGATGCAACAGTTAGTCAAGTAATTATGGAAAAAATTAAACACTATTAGACAATCTACTAAATTTTGTACTGGTTTGGGGAACTGATTGCTTATTTGTTACAGATAGTAAAGACTAGTTTTGAGACAAAAAAGGAGGCACATGGAGGCATCCTAAATGCAATGCAGAGTAGTTTCATAACAAATATTTAATCCAGAAGTAAGAATGTATTAACCAAAGTGACTCAAGCACATAAAAGAAGCAAGGTCACAAACAAAAAGCCATAGCTTCTTTCAGACTAACTAATATAACTGGAAAAACTGTAAAAGCTCTGATACAAAAGCCCTTCTCCAGGTTCAAAGCTGTAAGTGAAGACTTCAAAACTAGCAATGGTTATTCCTCGTTTAAGGAATAGCAATTAGACTGAATTAAAATCAAAAAACCCAAATCAAATAAACCTAAAACCAAATTAAAAAACCTAAGTAGCTAGCATTTGTAGAGCAGACAAAGGAGTATGTGTCGTGATCACCTCTCCTTTAGAGCTGAGTGAAACATATCAAAAATAATTTATTAAGCATGAACTTGACAGGGAGTAAGTGCTGGGGGAAATGACAGGGAATTACAACACAGAAAAATCTACTTAGTTCATGCTTTTTACTATTTAATGGGAATTATGAATGTTAAAACTCATCATTTGTGAAGATTTTATTACTCTCTCTTGAGAATTCAAGTGAGGTTAGAAGTGAAGAAGAGGCTCTGCTGAAAAATGTTCTTCCACTGGTACCTGTCCCTTTCCTTCTTCTAAGAATTTTTTTTAAGAATTCATTCTAGGGGTGCAGCAGTGGTATAAGTTCAGGCAGCCTCCAGGTAATGTTACTAAACGTACATTATATTATGAGGACTGTAAACACAGAGGACAATGATTTTTGAGGGAATGGTTTGTAGCTAAAGCAGTTGGTATTCAGTATTCAGTAAAAACAGTACTGCTATTGCTAATAGCAGGCCTTGAGTTGTATGCTAACTGTGCAAGGCTCCAGTCCGAGATGTTTAAGTCTGTTACCAGAAGTTGGTGTGTGAACAGGAGCTTGGTGCCATAGGTGTTCCGTTATGATGCGGAGTTTAATGACAGAACAGCAGCAAAGGCCTTGAAAATACAGACACAAGTAGAAAACAAAGGCCCCTCAAACACACAGTTGAGGAAGAAGGCATTGAAGATGCACAACCTTAAGAGCTAGGAAGACTGCTTTTGCTTTAAGAAAATGAGGTAGCAACTAAGAAAGAGATAAAAAACCAGATAGGCAAGCAACAGGACACGGCACTTGCTCTGACCTGGAAGAGTAATGCTTCTTCCAAGTATCACAATATATAGTCTAGGACAGAGGTCAAGGGCTGGGAGTTGTCCAAAACAAAAAAACCTTAAGAAAGGACAAGTTCCTTAATTTGAGGGAAGATTATGTCCACTACAGTTCCAGCTTTCTGTATCTAAGAGCTCTTTGAGCCAGCTCATTTTGACTTCTGTGACTCAGACCATTAAGGAGAGGCTATTGGTGTCAACTACAGAGCATCTTCACGATGGTATTCTATACCCACAGCTCAAGTAGGGCATGACCATTAAGGACTGACCACTTTGAATACATAACAATAACACTTAGGAGACTGTAAAACAAACCATTAGCATGAAGTGTGTTGTTAATCAAAATTGGTCTAGTGAAGTTTTGTTTTAAAGAGAAAAACTAGTCTGATTTAACAGTCTTCCTAATACTAATCACAGCAATTGTTAATACTTGCAAGACATAAGTCAAGCTGATACTGGTGAGGGTTCACAAGGAGAGGGGCTTGTTCCATCTGCTAGAAGAGAGCGCACACTTGGTGGGCACTGGGAATGTTTCCTTCAAAATAGGATGTCCCTCCAGTGTAGGTTGCATTTGTTTAACATTTTAGAAGCTGTAGCATGAGGAGCTGATAACTAAGAGTATACAACAGCAGGTAACTTGAATGCAGTTATCAGATGGTTCAATCACCATGGGGAATTGTACTCCTAAGATGAACATCTTTGTTTGGTGGAGTCATTGATAAGAACTGTTGAACTAGTTATCACCAGCACGTGCTTTAGAGCAAGTGCAGATAGTGCCTTTCATACAGCTTTGGTATGTCTTACGAAAGCAAGTGCATCTTTTAGGACTTGTCTCCAACTACAGAGTAATTCCTCTTTAAGCATATGTATCATTAAAATTTCAAGATACATGCTTCTCATAGCTAGGATGAGAAGACAGACATAGCAGACATTAATAATTACAGAATACAGTATCGGAACATGCTCAAATACTTCAATAACACTCATAAAATCAAAATACATGTACCTGCACCTAGGAGTTTATTATGCTGTTTGATTCCCAGAGCATACTGCAGCTGAGTTGATGAGACCACTTACTACACATAAACAATTTTTAACACCTTGTCAGCTGAGACAAGTTCTCCAAAACACAACTAAGTGTGAATATTTATGCAACAATGACACTTTAATATTGCCATTACTAAATAACTGAAAAACACACCTCTTTCCTCAACTTTTTCCTGAAAACACTGCTTTGTAAGTAGCCTTAAGGGGTTTAAAGAGCTACGAAAGTGGACAGAATTCAGGACTCCCTTATTCATTACACCATGCTGTGTCACCATTAGTATCAGTTACCGTGCCTTTCCAATCTGTAACAGGCAAGAAATCAAAATTGCACCCAATGTTCTAAGGCATCTAAGGTGTCCTACTGGCCACTTTTAAACTGGTATACACCTTAAAGTGAAGTTTAAAAGACACTTGACCAAAAAAGTAATTTTCTAAGAACTTCAACTGAACAAGCTTCTGGAAGCCAGGTAAAACAATGTACCTAACTTGATTATAGAGATCATTTTAACAGATGTATAAAGGGAATAAAATGGGACACAAAGAGGTATTAGGAAAAATCTTGTCCTTCTGTGTACTTTTAATTATTTTTCTGTTCAGAAAGATGTATTACCCTGACAACTCAAAAACGATAGCAAGAGAACAAGTCAATAAACCTTTAAGGTAAAAGACAAGCAATGGACATTGTGAAGAAAAATACAGTATGCACAAGACTAAAAGCTTCCTGCTCCAATTAAAAGCTGATTTCTAAATAAATTTTATCCGTAGAGTTCTGGGTTAACGCTTCAGGGCTCAACAGTTGATTTTTGAAAAAACATTTTTGCTTGACCTTTATGTCAAACAGACAAAACACCAACAGAAAAAAGACTATCCTTCAGCATAATTTCTTTGACTTTCCGATGGTAAAGAAATTAACTCCTTCTCTAAAAACAGACACCAGGCCAAATTTTACCTACCCTGAAAAGAAGCAACACTCATTATGAGGAAGAAAGACTAAATCTCTAAACACTTACCTTAGTAGAAAAAAAACAAGCAACAAACATGCTATTTGATATATTATTGAAAAATGGACTCAATTAGCTATAAACTTAGGACAATATTCAAGAAATTATCAGGGCCAGAGAAAATACTAGGATATGTAGTAACTCAGTGAAATATTTGAGAAACTGACTTGACTTAAAACACACAGATCAGTCATGCTAAAGGCACAGAAAGAGAAACCTAACTAAGCTGAAGCCCGCTGTGTACATCGTAATGGAAGGTCTTCTGTCTTCCTGTCTGAGAAATCTCTGAGTGAGATACCACCTGCTGGTGGAATGATGAATATTCTTGTGCAAGAAACCAAAGGATCAATTTAAGGAGACATTAGCAATGTCTCATATACCATCAAGGGAGCTCTGAGTCATCATTCACAGATTTAGCCAGCAGCGATTTACTTTTTCAATGCTACAAGCATTCAAGAAATGGAGGAAAAGAGTATAAATGGAAAAGCAGGTGAGTGGGGAAAGAATGACGCTTTTTTACTTTTCAGAAATTACATCTTAATAGTCCAGCTATATACTGTATATTTCATTCATGTGATAAACTACCTCAGGTTAGAGCATGGAGTGCAAAATACAAGGAATAAGTAAGGATCCACTCTTGCCCTCTCCCCACTTCAGTAATACATCACTGCATATACTGTTTTTTAACACTATTGCTTATAATACTGGAAAAAGGCAGCAGCGCTGCTTACACCAAAGCTTTTAGGGGAAAAAAGCAAACTGATGACTTGAAAAAGCTTATCTTCAGATTAAATGAAGAATTCAGGCAATTTATATGTTTATATAGTAAATTATTTTAAAATAATTAAGGTCTGTCTACATCCAACTAGCATAACTGCTATAATGAACAGTGCATTTTAAGGGGGGTACATAAGTCTTTCGAGCTTTACCTGATATTCATAGTTTAAATTCTGAATCCATGCATGTTGTTACAAATTAAATGAACATAAGTAATTACCCAGCATAGCTACATAAGTTTAATTACATGCTTTTAACTCTAAAATGAAAGTTTCTGCCACAGGAAAAGCCTGAAGTGAAACACTTGCATCTGTCTTCCTTTAACGTTTTTCTTACAGCAAATGCTCCTTCTCTTATTAAAGAGGAAGAACACTTCCGTGATTTCTACCAATGGAAAAGAGCTTATTTGCTTGTGGTTGTAACATGACACTGTCAAATAGCTATATTTTCAGAGAATGCTGTCATCTGTACTATTCTGAAATATTTCAGTAAGCCAAGGGACTAGCAAGACAGTTACTTTTTGGTAAACTCAATCTATGTATAAGTTTTTATTACATGGAAGAAGTGTAATCATACTCATTTATTCTTTTCCAAAGATGGAGGAAATCTCATGACAGCTGCATATCCACTTCTTTACAGCTATCTCATTGTCTTTAAATTATCTGTATGTTAAAAAACTGTCAAAGCAGTTTGGGGAATGTACTGTGTCTTTCTATATTTTTAAGAATGCAGGTTAGCATTAATTTGAAGTGTCCAAATGCAGAAACGTCCTACAGTTTGAATTATAGCTAACCTGTTCGAATTATAGCTAACCTGTTTAAACACTACTCTTAACCACACTTCCCTCATAAACAATACACTCAAGGAAAAAAAAAAAAAAGATGGAACAGTTTGAGTTGGAAGGGACCTTAAAGATCATCTAGTTCCAATCTCACTGCCATGGGCAGGGACACCTTCTATTAGACCAGGCTTCTCAAAGCCCCATCCAACCTGGTCTAAATCCCACACAAAGTCCCACAAAACATGAAAAAAAGTAAGCAAACGAACAAAAAACACAAGCCAAACATAAAAAATCTACCCTCAAGAAAAAACAAATCCCTCAAAACAACCCCCCTCAAAAGCACTCACATAATTTAAAGTATTGGCCCTTCCTAATTCAGTATGTCATTCTAATAACCCATTGGTCCTCTTCAAAATACCAAGAGAAAGATTTTCATGCTCCGATAGAAAATATAAATCCTGAATGCAGTAAGGTTCCATTGTATCCTAGGGTAGGTAAGAAACTTGTTTAGAAACACTTGACTTAAATCAAAACTATTCTTATTTTCATCGTCTCCAAGTTTTAAAGACCTGAACAATCACAGAAATCAGATTTTCACTGATTTTAACTTGAAATATTTATACAATGCACTGCAGATGAGCAAGCCAGCAAAGAAAACGCTGCCCAGTAAGGATGTGAAATCAGGATTTAGAGCTACATACTGTGCTGACTTGTTTACAGTCTGTCCTTAAGGACAGGATCGTATGGAGAAAAAAGACAGGTGTTTCCCCACAGCTGATGAGTAATGAGTTCATGGAAATAAACAGGAAAGCAAGTCAATTGCTGACACTTTTTTTTTGTGAACTTTGAAACCAGATTTTAGAAGTAAAACAAGTATGTTAGCTAGATGAATATTTTAGTAATAATGTGTTTCATTCTTAAATATTTATTCTCTTTATCCTTTTTCACACATTTCTCTGGCCCATTTAGATTACTGAAGCACACTTTTCATCATGGATTTTGGGCACTGCACAGCAACCCTGCAAATGACACAGGTAGCACTTATGTAGTTTCTCCTATCCCTCTTGACAGCTTGCCTAGAAGGAAATTCCATATTGATTTTAAATCATGATGTGCTGTGCATTTTCATAACTCTGCCTCAAGCATGCATGGCCAACTTTGAAAAAGTATTAAGCAAATTTCACTACTAACTGAAAAAAAGTTTACTGCAATAAAAAATTCCTCTCCATTTTTTCTCATCTCACAGCTTCTACGATAGAAACTCTAGCAAATTAAGCAGCAGTTGAGAGGGGATAGAAAAAGCACACATCCCTACCAGTCTAAATCAACAACTGTCTCAAGGCAAATACTCAGTTTAATTGTATCCACAGAACTGTTGTGCTGCCACTTAGGTATAAATAATAGTCCTTCCTCCAAAATTAATGATATTTCTAGTTTATGATAACAGCTTAAGTCAAAGAGATTGGGGATTGACTCTGTATATTAAGCATTTTGGACTCAACATAATTTTTTAGTGAAACACTTCAGTTTGGATTGCTTTCAATACTTTTTCTCCTTACAAGGCGAAAGGTCCAGTGCATTAATTCAGGAATTCACACTGTGTAAAATATTCATTTAATTCTCTACAGAACTTTCATAAAAGGAGAGAAATAAGATGCTTTCAACCCTATGAATAATTTGAGGCAAAAAAAGTAAGACCAAAAATAATATACTTTCTTAGCTTTGTTTTGTTTTCACAAGCTCTTAGTCAATAGTTTCTTCAATTATAACCTAGACCACCTGGTTTCTTTTTTAAAAAGACTACATAATATAAAGCATTGAAAACTAGCTTGGAGGTGACACAGCTGATGCTGAAGTAACAATCTGTCTCTGGAAGATGTCTGGGAAGCTGGTATCAATGAAGATGCTGAAATCACGAGAGTTTCTTCATCATAAACAGTTCTGTTTATTTTATGGTTATATCTAAAACAGGCTTACAATAATTTCTTAGGTTATTGTAAGTAACACTAATAGTGTTTCCCTAATTTTCCATGTTCTTGAATCCATAACCTTAGTGGTACTCCAAGGAGAAACTGCCATCAGCTAAAGTTAGACCAAGTTCGTAATAAGTGCAAAGAATACATACTGAGAGAAATGTTTCAATGTTATCATGAACAAATGATGCAACATCTTGCCAGTCCAGAATATCTCCAAGCCAGCTGTTTTGACGGTTTATGTGCCACTTGTGTCCTTTGTGTCTTCCAGAATGTGTCACATTCTGAAAAAGAGAGACAAAGACGTGACGACAACAGACATTCAAATAACTTGCAGATATGATAAAGCCAAAGGGCAATGTTTTAGACTAATGCTTTCCTAATGAGGAAGAGTTCCAACATGCATCTAAATACTAGTGCTGCTTTAACCGTCATCCCCAAAAATGCCTGGAAGTACTCTGTACACCGAAAAAACTAATATCTGTCAGAAAAGTGTAGTTAATTATGCCATATAATTACATTTCTTTATATTGTACTCGTTCACCTCTGTTACAAATTAACTTTACTGCAAGCTCTTAATGAAAGCACACAGGAAAGTGGTATTGATTTCAGGTACTGCCTACATAATTTACGGTTTGCAACATACAACCCATAAAGGAAAATGCAAGCAGAAGCCAAAACAAGTAGTTTTTCTCACTGTTAGTATCTGCTTCTCCACAGGCAATGTTCAGTCACACAAAACATAAAAGCTAAATTGGATGCATGAATGATTTCTTCTGACTACACCCCTTTGTAACTGCAACACAACAAGACAATAGGACATGGCCATAACCACAACAGCTAATTCCTTAAATGGCTCCACCCTAATTATAAAGTTGCCTATTGTCCAATGAATCACACCTGATTACTATCTAGAATAAGACTATTTGTCTCAGTCTGGGACCGTAATAAGTGTTTCAGAGGAAGATGTCAAAATTCTATGTAAGCAAGTTTAAGCAAACCCACTGACACCAACAGATCCAAGATCCTAATCTTTAATAGCAAGAGACTTCTCAAGTTCTTAACTCTGATTTTTATAATAAGCATCCCACTACTTCTGTTAAAATTTTCCAAACCTTTAGTTTTACCAGACTGCATTCAAAATGACAGTACCTTTTTTGCCATACACAGCAAAGGAACGTTCCAAGCGAGGTTCCTGCACTGATTTATCTAAGAGCATTACATTTTCCACTTATTACCAATTCTTTCTAGATGCACACAGTTACACTTTGTGATGCACAGTTACCAATATTCTTTAACAATCCACAGCAACACAAGAGATTTTTCTTTTGAGCTGGCAATTTATTTAGAGCACAAACATATGAGTAGTCAAAAATCTCCCTCCAATAAGCCTTTTGTATCTGAAAAGTGTATGAAGACCTATTATCTGTTCAACTAGTTCTACTTTTAAAGACAGGTCTTTCCATTAACTGGCAGATTTAGATACCATTTTCAAATTTTGTAACATTATTATTCATACATATTTCAAATTCAATGTTATTCAGCAACTAAGGCCTTGTGTGTTGATAAGTGAGGTATCTGGAAGACATTCCTCCTCAACAAATGCACTAGATCTTAAGAATAAAACATAACTCCACACCTGAATGGACTATGAAGAGGAGATGCTTGTCCTTGGTTGCAGAGTTATGCCATAATGGTCCAAATGGTTTATTATTCTGTCTCTCCTTTACTTCATTGGGTACAGAGAGATGTCACAGTTACTGATTTTATCACAACATCACTAGAACCTTTTAAAATATATACCATTTGCTGCCTACTGATCTTTTTACGAATCATAGAATCAAACAGGTTGGAAGAGACTCCGAGATCATCAAGTCCAACCCGTGATCCAACACCACTGGGGTTACTAGACCATGGCACTAAGTGCCACATCCAGTCTCATCTTAAAAACCTCTGGGGATGGTGAATCCACCACCTCCCTGGGCAGCCCATTCCAATGTCTAATTACTCTCTCTGTAAAAAATTTCTTCTTAATATTCAACTTAAACCTCCCCTGGTGCACCTTAAGATCATGCCCTCTTGTCCTACTGCTGGTTGCCTGGGAGAAGAGACCACCCCACCTGGCTACAACCTCCTTTCAGGGAGTTGTAGAGAGTGATGAGGTCTCCCCTGAGCCTCCTCTTCTCCAGGCTGAACAACTCCAGCTCCCTCAGCCTCTCCTCATAGGACTTGTGCTCAAGTCCCTTCACCAGCCTAGTAGCTCTCCTCTGGACCTGCTCCAGCACCTCAATATCCTTCCTGAACTGAGGGGCCCAGAACTGGACACAGCACTCCAGGTGTGGCCTCACCAGTGCTGAGTACAGGGGAAGAATCACTTCCCCGGTCCTGCTGGCCACACAGTTCCTGACACAGGCCAGGATGCCATTGGCTTTCTTGGCCACCTGGGCACACTGCTGGCTCATGTTCAACTTCCTGTCAATCCAAACTCCCAGGTTCCTTTCTGCCTGGCTGCTCTCCAGCCACTCTGTCTGCAGCCTGTAGTGCTGCATGAGGTTGCTATGGGCAAAGTGCAGGAATCAGCACTTGGCCTTGCTGAACCCCATCCTGTTGGAATCAGACCATCTCTCCAGCTTGTCCAGGTCCCTCTGAAGAGCACTCCTGCCTTCCAGCAGATCAACACTCCCCCCTGGTTAATGGTTGAATCCACATTTCATCAGCATTTCTTCCTCAGTTCTACAGCTTTCATGGAATAGTATCACCTGAGTCTGAGTTCTTCAGTCACCTACAGACTAGAGCAATGCTATGCACACCTCAAAATGAAGTCTAATTATTATGCTCCCACAATTGAAACAGTGAGGATCTTGAAAGCTGTACTCAGGTACAGATATCCTACACACCACACTGTCACTTAGTTTACCAATTTTCAGATACATCTAAGACCATGCAAGAGTATTACAATATTACAGAAGGAAATAGCCAGGTGGAAAGCACTCATGTGAGATGTTTTACATGGATCTGGGCTATGATAGAAGGAGCAAGATTTAGGAGCAGACTCTGGAGCAGTTACCTGTGGCCCGCAGATAATTGGTTGCCTCCCAGTATGTCAATGGTAACATAGAGTGTCTAGTTTGTAAATGGTGGTCAAGAGGAGGAACAGACTTCAAGATCGTAGGCAGCGAGCATCAGTGCATTTCTGAAGCTCTTTCTATCATTTTGATTGGTAGGAAAGCTGTTTCTTACCCTACCAGAAGAGAATTTATAAGATAGAAGCCTCACAGTATTCCCTCAAGTAACAGCTGCAGGATAGAAATCCCACCACACAAACACAGGCACACCCTGTGCTGTACTGCAGCAACAGAAGCGCTCCTACAGCACAGGTAGTGACACAGAGCCCTATCGAACGATGCAATGCTACCGACCATCTGACATACAGGTTGTATTAGTAAAAGTAACAGGTTGATCAGTATAATCGATAGCTGCATCCAAAGTAGGTGCTTTTCTTGGTCAATCATTTAACACTGAATACTCTCAAGTGCTTAAGGCCAGAAAAATCTACTGCAGATACAGTTTTACTTTTTCCTCGGTGGTCCCATACTCCTCAACAGCGTTGTGTTATCTCTCAACAGGTCCTTCTACAGCATTATCTTGTCAGAAACTGATTCTTTCCATTTTGACTACTATACTGAAACTGTTACTTCTTTTAATACAGAAATCTTCTTGGAACTTTAGAGGTACTTGAAAAATGACTGTATAAAGAGTTAATATATTATAATTGCAATTATTTAAATATACAGAAGTATTTCAGGGGTATAACTTTTGGATTTTAATATTTCCATTGCATCATGGCTAATGAATTCCTTTTTCCTTTAAAAGGTAAACAGCATTGCCAGAATAAAAATTATTTAACTCTTATGAACTTTTCAAGATCATTGTACAGAATCCACTAAAAGATGGCTACAAAAATGCACTGTAAGAAACTTAATGAAGGGACAATTTCTTTCTCCCAATTTCAAATTAATGAAAGTTAAACAAATCACGCAGAATACCAGTTTTCTTTTCCTAACACCTCAACAACACAAAAATTCAACAGAAACCTCTAAACTACGAAATACCAAACACATTAAGTGAGAAAAGCCTAAATTAAATGGCATACATAAAAACACACTTTACTACTTAAGTAAACGACATAGCTGTGGCTGTACTTAAACTGTGACTGTAGAATGATCTTACACACTTGAAATTTTTTCCCAGCTTTTTATTATGACCTTTACTCAGCATCCAACTTTCTACTAATCTCTTTCTCAGAAATGCATACTTAGCATAATTATCTCAGAGTACTAAGTGATAGTTTTTATGAATACCATTTAAATAAGTTACCCACCTTCACAAACCAAGAGTGATAAAGTCTGTCCCAGAGCTCAAGTACTTGTTTTTCAATCACAGCGGTGTTATTCACTTTTTCTCCTAAAATCTTATGGAGCTAAAACAAACAAAAACCTTTTATTATACAGGCCAGAATAAAGCAGGCATCTACCGATGAACTCCAAGCTCTATGAATCACATAAGAGTGTTGGCAAAGGCATGGATCAAACCCAAATTATTAGTATGAAATACTTCAGACAACATGGTTCACAATATGAAGACTTTGTTAAAAAACATTCTGCTACATCAAGCTGAGGACTTCTTTCTGCACTGAAAAACCAATGCTGTCTCTAAAATGCTTAATCCAAAATTCTTGTTCACATCTTTGGGGTAAACATATCAAACAATTTGAGATGTGTGCTCGATATCAAAACATACATATAATCTTGACAAATTCTCCTGAAGAAAGTTATCTTAACTAAGTAAATTATGACTGAAAAAAACCATCCGATCCACCACACCCAGCCCACATAGAAATTAGAACACAGGGGGAGGGGGAGGAGTGGTGGTGGCAATAACAAAAGCCTACATCGTCTATAATAGGACAGGCTAAAGCCAGGTAAAAAAATATTACTCAGTTTTATTTGATGAATTTTCACTAGAAATCGTTAAAATGATGACAGATTCTTCAGCTCTTAAAAAAAAATAATCCTCTGAGAGGAGAAGACTACTGAAATCACTCCCACTCTTCCTTCAAGACAAAAACCAGAGAGCAGAAAGATTTGTCAACCACACAGTTAACCACAGAAAAGAACTACTGACAAATACATTTTTATTTCTTTCCACTTTTATGAAATACAAGAAATAAAAAAAAAAATTAAAAGGTGCTCACTCTTACCTTATGTGTAATCCATTCTCGGCCATATTGGTACACATTATTCGCTGCGGAATTGAGGGCCTTCTGAATTACCTGGGCTTCTGGGAGCCAGCTGGGGTTTTTTAAAGAAGAAAAACAAAGTTAACTGCTATGTATTGTACCGATTTCATTACATCCAAAACACATTGCAAAACAATATTTTGAAATAACTACGTATCATGGTTAAATACATATAAACTTATTGCAACTAGAATATTTCCTTCTACATACCAAGAAACAGATTTTCTCATAAGCAAAGCACAACTAAATCTAGGGCAAGTCCTTGCATTTGAAATTCTCCAAGGTTCCTGAAACCTTAATTAAATTGGTATCTCAACTTTTTCAAGAGAGATCTGCTCTTCAATCTGTATGTGTGCTATTCACACTACATTCTTAGCAATTTTCCTGGTGTTCTAGTTGCCTGAAAATACTATATCAAGCAGTCTTATCTAGCTGTAAAGACTACCTTCTGAATTACAAGCTGAACATAAATTGTTAACATAGTTTCCCTGAGAAAGTAACTAGTTGAAAACAGGTTTGGCACCAGTTATTTCGGAGTCCTCACCAAACTACCCACTCGTGAATTTCTTCAGAGATTCACATCACTTTGAATGACTAAGCAATGGACCCTACTGAGTTGCCAGCATTCCAACACTTGTGAATACAGGGTACACAATATCTGCTTTGGCTTTCTTTTCATATCTTGATTCAGTGACGTTTTTTGCAGCCCTTCCAAAACAAAAAACCCCCACCGTTCAGGACATTTGTTCACCTGACTGAAGATCAACATGGAAGCTCTTCTGTCTGTATAATCCTTCGGAAATGTTCTGCATTGGAATTCCAAAACATTTCAGTCACTCAGCTCTAAATGTAATGTGAGCATCAAGCTCTGAAAGCTGGTGAAGTTTGATGGATTTGGCAAGAGGTATAGTCACTCTTAATGAATTAGAATACCGTGGTTTGGGTGCTTCAAATTTAGATGCAAACACCAGAAGTAAAAATTTAAGCTAAAATTCTGCTAATTACTCAACTGATACTCCAGTATTTTCATTACGTGAATAAGCTTTTGACAGTCAAATTTCCATTTTCATTAGTCCCACTTACTTCCATCTTATGGTAAAACAGAAAGGCCAAACAAAGAAATGCCAGGAAGGAATAAAACACATTTTAAGTGCTTTCCATTCTCTTGATTGTGATTACTTAAGTAGTGTTAAAACACATATTACTAAAGTGGTTATTAACTATATACTTTTAGGTTTGTTTTTGAAAAATCATTTTGCTCTTATAATACAGCATGCACTTTCTTTACATACTGTGAAATCATCATCATTTTTGTTTAAAATGTGCCCTTGAAAAAAAGTCAACCATTCTTGTTTGGGAGACAATTTTTTTTCCTGGTATCTCACCTTTACCGAATGTCTGTTTAGCTGCAGCAGAATGAAAGCCATCTGGAACATGCCCCCCTTAAAATCCCACCCTTCAATCTCACCTATTCCCCCTCTGGTGTTCATGTAATCACTTCTTTGCTCACCAGTGTGCTCTTGTTTTTCTCTAGATGCATTTCTCTCAAAATCTTTTCCCTCCCTTAGTATTTGCCTTGGCATTTACTGTAATCATTACACACACTAAACCTTACTGCATACTTCCCACTGAGTACACTACACACATCTACTCTTAATAGGAACAGCCCTTGCCAACTGATTCATACCAAACTCTCCCCATCCACCATTCTTTCCACCCTTGAACTCTTCTTCAATTCACTCCAAAAACTCCTATTCCCTCAAAGGCATTCTGCAGCAAGCTCTCCACATCTCCACAGCTCTCATCTTGCAACCTTCCAGAGAGAGCATTCTTTGCCAGTACTTTTCTTCCACAGGCAAAAGGGAAAAAATATTGACCTCTTTAGTCTCTGCACCACAAAATTTTCCTCTCCACAACTGTAGTTAGAGAAGTTCATATAGCTGTCCTTCTCCACCAAAATCCTCAAATGAGATATCACACTGACAGTCCTCCAGAGTAATGCATAAACATTCCTACCACCTGAAAGTTCAGCTTTTACATCTGCCTGTAAGAGTCACCCCCATTTCTGTTCCCCTAGGGAATTTTTTAAATTAAAGACTATGCATAAGAGCACCTGGAAGTTTGTTCATCCACCCTATACTATTCGCTTAACTTCAGCATTCTTACTTTGCCCATTCTGGGTGACTGGCTACTGTCTCATTGATCAAGCTGCTTGTGACTTGAATCATGTGAACACTCTCTTGATGTACCTAAATTAAATATAGAGAGGAGAAATGTTATGTAATGCAAACTAGAACTTTTCCTACATTCAGAAAGACTTTGGTTTTTTCCCTTTTTTTGGGTGGGTAGGGAAGAGGATGGCAGGTGAGGGGGCAGTGACCAGTTCGTACATTTAAAGAATAATTCTTCCAATGCAAACAACCCACTAAGGAGAATGACGTGCCATTAACCCAAAAAAACTCAGACAATACAATAATCATTATGTTCTGACAATTTTTGTCACTAGTAATAGCAAATGGAAATTTAAACCTTATCACACCAGTGGAAAAAAAAAACCAATACAATACAACAGTGCTGTCAAGGGAAGTACTAAAATACAAAGCACAGTTTTAGATACGCCTTTTTAAGCCATGAATCAAAGAAGTGCAAAAATTAATGAATGCTTAGCTCTAACATAACCAGCCATGCTATGAAGTGCCTCACCAAATTAATTCTTCAATAAGAATGATAAAAGACACCTTTTATAAATATCTTAATGGTCCTTTTATGAATATAAGGAAGCTTTAGGCAGGAATGTCTGCAAAACTTTTAAAGCTTTCCATTTTAAGAACTCAACATTATATAAGTCTACATTTTGGAAAAAAGATATTGACATCAGAACCCATTGATTTTTGTTCCGTAACTGTATTCAAGTCAAACATTCAACCTCCATTGACTGTTTCAAGTATAAACACAGTTCTGTTAAGGAAAAATAAAGGAAAAAAAAGTACATGAGTGACCTCTTCTGGTAAGCAAAAAAAAACCCAACCACAAACAAAAAATCAGCCTCAAAGAACATCTGATCATGAATCTCAGCACATTTAAGTCAAAACAGGATACCATGAGGTTATTACAGGCAATCACATAAAAAGATTGACAAATACACCTTAAGCATTTGGCAAATATGTTTCTGATGCAAGGTAAGTAAAAAGAAAAAATTCTAAGTGGTTCTGCTGTTGACGAGGAGAGTGTAACAGGATGCAAAACAAATCCGTTCCTGTAATATATAAGCTAGTAATTCTTTTACCAGAATAAATTTTGTATTTCCAAGTGTCTATATATTAGGCTTGTCATATAGGTAAATAAACACAGAAATCTAAAGAAATATAAATACTGAGATTTTGCTATATTTTTGTATGTTTTATAGTCTTGGAATGGTGACAAGTTCAACTACGGAGCAATTAGTTACTAAATATTTAGATAAATTCTTTAAACTATACAATTCAGTATAAATATCAACAACCTCCATTAGCATTGAAAATAAGTTCTGTGATTACATTTGTTAGCACACTGTACCTTTGCAGTGAGGAGCAGGGCTAGCAGGAGGGTTCCTATGACTAGCAAAAATATTATAAAAATGCTGATTATTTTATCTAGCATTTTCTCCAACCACACGATCATCTGTGCAGAAAAAAAAATAAACAAATTATGGCATATAAATCAATACTTAATGAAAGCAATGCTATATGACTATACAACAGTATTGTTATTTTTATTTACAATCACAGTAAAAAATCAGGCTCTAATCAAACAGCATTTATGCCCAAGCTTGGAGATGAACAATTAACAAGCGATGTTAGCATGATTAAGGTCATGGTATGGCATGTGATTTTGCAAAAAAACATTTACACGTTACCACATGACACGGCAAGCTCTCTGCAAAGCAAGCAATAATTCAACAGTTACTTACTAGACCTAAGGGAGCTAGCATTCATGTCAGCTAGAACCCAGAAATTTATCTTTGTTTCTTGTTCTTCAGCAACCTGGAAACTTACAGATACTGTCTGCACAGGACTTCAAAGTTATCAAGGCATACTGTAAAGTACAATCATAACTTCCAGATTTGGATAGCTAAAAGTCATTTAAATGACAAATGAGGTATTTTTGCAAGTAATAAAATTTTTGGAGCTGCTCATCACCTTGTGAACTGAAACGAGATGGTGGGGTTTCTACATTATTGAATATCAGGCCAGTTATTCAGCACTCACTATTTCTATCCACTTCCAATCTCAAAAGGATGCTCAGCATTAAGCATGCATTAGCTAAACCTACTGATACAGGAAACAGGTGTGTATCTTGTTCTGAAAAGGCCCATTTTATACATGCCCACAAACAAATAGCGATACCACTTAAGATCCGAGACATTCTGACTGTTATTGAAAACAATAAAACTGCTCAGTCACGCAACTTTGCAGCGTGCTCTACAATAGTGGAAACTGAGCTTCATCTCATACATAAACTGACTGTTTATTTTAAAGGTGTGAAAGCCCATGCAAGTCTGATCAAATACATTTTTCTAGCTTCTATTGTTCACATACCAACACTATTCCATCTGGCATTATTACAGGAAAAAGCAGCAGCAGCACAACTGTAAAATTTGTGCTTTAAGAGAACTGAGGTCAAAGTTAATGTGTAGTAGGTGAAAGTACTTTCGAGTACAAGTTATTCAATGATTAAGTTGGTAACTTTTTAGTTAGAGATCTTAAAAAACTACTAATATGCATGCTGATGGTTTACATTAATTCTTTCTTCATTGTTTACCCTATCCCTACATGTGAAATTGGCCCTGGAACAACTAACTTCTACACACTGCTGTGTGATGATTGAATTGGTTAATATTGAAGTTAGATCTACTATTTGAAAAAAGTAAAAATTTTTATTTTTTTTTTGGTTAATATTGAAGTTAGATCTACTATTTGAAAAAAGTAAAAATTTTTATTTTTTTTTGTGTTTACCCTGTAGTAGCTGAGCAGTTAATGTACATCAAGCAATTATTTTTAAACTTCAAGTTTTTAAAACCAGCTCCTTGTTTGACCTAAATTAACACAAGGATTATATTCAAAATGATGACAAAAACTAAAAGAATGCAAAATCATTTTAAAAGTAACAAGGTGTTGAGCCAGCAAGTTTTTGTAACAAAATCTGCACTACATTAAGAAAGGATCAGAGAACATGAAGGAATGTGCAAGATCTTTTGTCTTGGATATTTTTAACACTCTTCAGCATTGCTGAAATATTTCAGCCATCAGAAATGTCTTGCCAGTGCTACCGCAGCTCTCTGAAAAACTTTGAGTAACCTCTACATGGGGCTGTTACCTCCTTGGAAACAAGACTGAAACAGGATTTGCTGCACCCTTCCAAGCCTCACACACATCTATGGTTGTGCAGGATTATACAAGGGAAGCAAGAAATAAAAGTCCCTGCTTTAAAGGACATAAATCAAAAATACCACTGAAAAAAATATTAGATGGTCAGGGGATGGAAATTTTATAACATAGGTTTCAAAATGAAGCTGTTAAAAATTAAAGCTGCTCTTGTTACTTTAGACAAAGTTCAAAATAATTTCTATTTACTTTCATAGTTAGGCATAAAAGAAATCCAGTAGTCTTACATATAGCAGCTTAATCAGATTCACTGAATCGTATTTCCAAAGAACCTTCAAAAAATGCTAGCCTCAATGATTGTGAGGGGTAATCTCAACAGAGCTGAGATCAGGATGAAGACTCTCTCTGAAATAGCACATGATGAACAAGCTATCTTTTCCTGACACTCTGTATTGTGGGTTCAAATATGCCTAGACTTCCATTAAGGTGCAGCTGAAGCACATGTAAAGCCTGAATTACCTTTAATTTAGTTAGTAAAACTATGGCAGCACTGATGATGTACTACAACAGGTAGCAGCCTCAGTCATGCAAGCCCACCTTGTCTTTATTCACCTGGACAGGTAGCCCAAGCAAGACAGATGAAAGCCAGCTTTGTTAATGTACTGCAGTAACATCTCTCAACACAGTCTTAAGGAGATCCAAGTTGTATAACTGGTACAGACGTATCATTGGAGAAGACTGAATTGGACTGAGTGTTGCAGAGGTAAAAGCAGATGCTCAACATTCAGGGCTGTATTTACTCCTCTCTCTTTTTTTGTTTGTTTGGTTTGGTTTTTTGTTTTGTTTGCTTTTCAAACTCCCTTCCTTCCTCTACATTAATCCACAATGTTTCCTTAGTAAGCACTCACCTTTGCACACTCGTGCTAAATAATGCATAGGTGCTATGTTACTGCAGGTAAATCCCTTCATGCTTGTACTTACCACTGAATCAGGTCTAGACTTCACTCTCACCCAAACCCTGCCAGACCTCCCTTTATATCCTTCCTGTAAACCATGGGCATGCACACAAAGACAAACATGTACTGACTAAACACTAGTCATTAGCCAGAGATCATGAAGTTTTTTATTCAGTTTCAAGCTTCTAAAGGTTAGTCAACAGCAGAAAGCTGATGCTGCCGCAACATCCAAAATTATGCAAAGGTAAAGGAAAGCCAGGCTGCTAAGCTACAGAAGGTCACACTTGTAAAACCAAACTGAAATGTTACTGATTTGTGATAGACTGTCCACAAAATCTATCCTAAAACTATTGTGACAGTTTTGAAGGGAAAGGTCATCAACTTTTTTTTTTTTTAAATTTAGCTCACTGTAAAAAAGTTTAAGATGAGTTGCATTCTATTAGAAAGCTTCTCAATAATTTGCAAGTTCTCCCTCTTTCAACTTTTGGGTGATGATACAAACTATATTGCACTAAGCTGTAACAGAACTACAGTCCATGCTTATCAGAAATCCTACTATCTAGACTGGTTCTCCATGTCATGCAGTATGATATATCATCTGTGAATTAATATTTTCATGTTTCACACTGCATAGCCATCAGAGCAATAGTTTTTCCAGTATGCTTGATTTACTGCATTACTCACACAGTGAAGAAGACCTGGGCATCTACTTAATTTTCAATTACATCTACATAAAATTACCAACGAGGACTTTTATTTTTTTTTCTGTAAACGGCTCCACTATTTATGAGGATTGTTTTTACAAGGCATTTCTTAGATTTGTTATTTCTCATTTGTTCAGTTAATACTTGAGGATATCATCTCATTAATATCATCTGATGAGAACAAGGGGAAGCCTGTAACCAGAACACATCCAAGGGTTATGCTGAAATGAGTCTGTTTAGTAGTTAACCTAGAAAAGGTAGGGAATAGTTTACATGGGGTCTCAAGTCTATTTACACCAGTGTCCCTCCAACAACAGTGGCAGAATTTAGCAATTCCTTCTAAAGAGTCCTGACACAGAAAATGTTATAAAGAAAAAATCACGCTAGCCCAACTGAACCTATTCTATATTTTGGGCTACATAGACCATGAACAGGAATTAACAAGGTTTGTCACCAGCAGTCACAATGAACCATTATTTCAAACTCTACCATAACCAGGTGATGTATTTGTAATTTCCTGCTGGATTATCAGAAATCTATCTAGGTGTTCTCTGAAGCACTTCCCTTCAAAGACAGGTAAAAAGGAGAAAGGCACAAAAGAAATCAACCTTGTAACCACATCCAGTGTTCTGTATTACAAATCCCCTCTTTTCTTTGCCTCTCGTAGTATATGACTTTTTTTTTTTTTAATTATTTAAAACCAAACAAACAAAACACCAAAACCCACCTACAACAAAATGAACCCACACGATCCTGACACTGTTTGCACATTTTTTCATCTTTATCATAATATTATTACTATATGTTCATGCACAAGAGTCAACACTGCATGTAACACTATAGGACTTTCAGGATTTCTACCTATGAAACTTTAAAGTAAACCAATAGTTTTCAAAAATAACTCCTAGGAACTAACAAATCCCAATCTGCTAAGAAACTATATCCATAGGGTTTTGCCAAATAATGCAAATCTTTAAATTTAAAATCCAGACATTTTAGAGTTTAAAGCAATTACACTGCAACCTATCAATTTTTTCAAACAAGGAAGCGGCAAATTCAGAGCCAGAAAAAAAGTAGTTGAGACTAAACTTTCATCTGTGGCTCACTGAACTCAGCTTTTCACTGAATCGTGCTAACAAACCAATACATAACAAAAAAAAAAATTATGAAGGGTTATGGTTGCACATATTTACTAACCACAGGGCACTAACATAAGACAAACATTTCAAAGTTGGGAAATAAAAATGTAATTTTAAACCAGGAAAACTATAGTCAAGGACAAAAGAACATTCATAAATTCACCTCTTAGTGGACAATTATAACTAAATCATGAAGCAAGCAACTGTACCCTCTTGTTTAGAAACACAGAAAGCCCCCCAACATACAACCCTTGGTTCACTCATTAGATACTGAAGATCAAATTTCCTAAATTCATTATAGCTGCATAGCCTACACACTAAACGCAGCATTATTCCTAATCTGCCACCCACTGCAGATACCAGCTGTGCAGTCCCATTTCCTTGTTTACAAAGACCTTTTATGGGTATTTTATCACATACTAGATTTTGACCTATAAAACTCTGAGGTCCTTCAGCCATGCACACGCTATAGGCATCTCTTCCCAGATCTATGCTTGTCAGAAGCAATGCCACTGCCCAAGTCCCAGAGAGATACTACTGCATTGAGTACCTGTCTAGATTTTAGTCACACACAGCACCAAATCAGTTTTAACTTCTCTTGGAATGACAGTTTCCCAAAGAACAATAGTTAAACCTAGCTGGCTAAGATGAACCATGGGAACTGGGAATGATAATTCTTAAAAAACATGTCACACATATTTGAAAGTCACACAAAAAGAAAAAAATATTTTAACTATACCAACTACTTTAATTTTTTTTTTATCATTTATTTTTTTATTTTATTTTTACTAGCCCTCACTTCCCTTCAGACTGTTGTTAGATTCAGCAGTTCTAAGGCCATGTAAAGTCTCATTTCACTCCCGGTATGCTCCATATCAGTATGTATGTTATTTATTCCTGGTACACTATGTACTATGCCTGTGTACACAGGCAAGTTTGACACTTCAAAAGTAAAAGATTTACAGCACTGACTGAAACCAGTCAATGCACTATTTGCAAGAGCTTACACCCATAGCTTTACAACTGTGCTTCACACCCCTCGCCACTCCCATGTTAGTTCACTGATGCATTTTCTGAGGGAGAACAGCTCTACAGAGCAGGAGAGAACTGGTTTCATTATGTGTACAAGTGGGGACCAGGTGGAGATCAACTGTTCTTAAATAAAACTGCCACTAAATCAAACTGCTGCTTGAAACGCTAATGCAATATTCTGCTGTACAAAACATTTAACTATGTGCATTCAGTGGAGTAGAAGACAAGAGATCAGGTAGATTCATATGACCTTCAGTAGCTTATATCAAGAGCTGGAAAAGAGGCATTTGAGAGAGAAATCTACAAGCAAGGCATGTTAAGGAGTGTTCATGCTGCAAAATAAAAATAATTAAAAAAAAAATCAAACTCCCCAAAACCACAGAATCCATTAGTTGGAATCACAATTTTTCTCTTTATTTACCTTCTTATTAAGCCAGTGCCACAGCTTGTCAGTGGCAGGGGGAGATGGAAGAAAAGGGAAAAAAAGACAACACAGTGGAAAATTACTGAAAAATGCAGTAATAGGGGAAAAAAAGCAATGACAGGCAGGCAAAGTCATCCCACAGAATGAAAATGAAATTGTTTTAGACACAAAGGCAAATTGTAATAGGAAGAAAAGATAGTAACTTCTAATGCAAGAGTCTAGGTATTACTATTAACATGCACTTTTGAAATGAGGAGGGATATAACAAATAGGAACAACTTTAATGATTTGAACAGAGCTATCAGAATAACCTGGGCAATTCCAGTTCAATTATACTGAGCTACCATTTCAGATTTCAGAGTAGGACTTGTAAAAGTACTTTGAGAAGGGTACTTTTAACAAAACACCAAAACTTAACAAGAGATACTTGTTTATTGCATTAATACTCCCATTCAGGCAGTTTCCTATATATTTCAAAACACTCCTATTACATCAATTACTGTTAAACAAATTTTATATGTTTTTTTGGTACCACATTTATTTTAGAACATTCACATTCAATGGCACAACATCAAATACATAATTAATTCTGATATACATACAACAGCAAACTGTAGATGAAATAAACGCATGGATTTCATATAATTCTCCTTGCACTTCTCAACAATGAACAGTTAATTTCTCCTTTTGCACTACCATTATTTTTTCCTTACTGATACTCATCCATATGCTCAAGTACACTCATTTTAGGACCTAGTTTATGTAGCACTATACTCTTAATTCTAACCATTAGTAATCAATTAGCAGTATAATCACAACAATGAAAAGCTTTAACGTTGTTATTCATCTGTGCTAGAGGTTAAGATCAAGTATGCAAAATTTGTTTCTTCCTGAAAACAAGACCATTGAATGCTCAGTAAATCTAGCCTGTTCACCAGTTGACACTAATTATATTATCTCCCAATGAAAACAAAAGGTAAAAATATTTCAAATATAAAAAAATCTCATGTTAATTTAGTTAGAACAGAAGCAAGAAAAAGATTTACAAAAAAACATGAACATCAGGAAACATGAAAACAAAATATGCCATAAACCATCCACTTTTGCTAGCTTTTACTATTCATGGAAAGAATCACAGTAATAGAAAGCAATGACAAAGTTTCAAAAACCTCAAATTGACACTGTTGAATTTGTTTCTGTTTTACTTCTTCACCTGTGGAATAATTTATCAGTGAAAACAGGAAAAGCTGTTTACTGATTCAACAACATACTTTTACCTTTAACTTTACTTCTGCATATTAAATACTATCTATACATCTATACCACTATTATATATGGGGTTTAGTTTGGAAAAAACATAGCTCTCATGGTACTTCTCTGCTGTGCAACTCCATACAAATACAACAAAAGCTAGAGTTCTATCATCAGCTTAAGATTTTAGTTGTGAAAGGAAGATGTGAAAGGAAGTCTTTGGTATTTTTCTATAATTTCAGCCTTCTGGAATTGGATGATATATACAATAACTAGGAAATAATACTATATGTTATAGTAAAATAACTAGGAAATAACACTATATGCTATAGTAAAAAATAACTATTTTCTTATTAATATTTAAGACAATACCTGAGAGGCCCTACCTGCCCACTAGCTTACCAATACTGATGTTTAAGTAGTTCTACAGATGTAATCAATCTACATTTGAAAATAGGCTACACCTTAATTCTAATCTTGAAGTCATCCAAAAGTATTAAGATCATAGCCACTATTCCAGTATTTTATTGGAAAACTATTTATCTACAATCTCATATGCCTATGAAAGTATTTCCTATAATAATATATGCACTGATAAAGATTCTGCTCGTTTTCTGTGGTTGGCTTTAGCTACATAGTAAACTTGGTACCAGAAGAAATAAACGTTGATTTTACCCAAAGTACAAACATCCTGAACAATCCATATATAAAATTCTAGTGAGCTACACCTAGAAAAAGCATATAACAACTACATGATTCACTCAAGTCCACCAGAAAGCCCATTCCAACTAGTAAAAGTGTAGTGCATGCAGCTGAGCTACTGTCTATGATGCTGAACTCCCTCATAACTCTATAATCAAACTACAGTCACCAAATTGAAAGACAAGTCTTCTTTAAAATAAAAACTTATCAGTAAACCAAATTATTAATTCTCAATTGTTGAGAAGAATATGCATGATACCGTATCTATTAAATTTTAAGATGACTCAGTAGATGACAACAGAACCCCCCTACTCTTTCCTCCAGGAAGTCTCTCATAGCTGAACTGCCACATCTGTTGACTTCATGCGGCGAATGCACAATCAGGGACTAAAGAATACAGTAAGGACGTCCTATTTTTGTAGTCCACATTTAAAGGAGGTGTGCACATACAGGCACAGATTGACCTACTGTTTATAAAGAAAATGAAAAGCAATGCTCTACTTCCTTTTCTCTTGACCAGAATTTCTCTTCATTTCAAATTTGTCTGCATTTCTAAGACAACCATGGGTAGATGAGCAGTTGGAAAGAAGAGAAGCAGTTCTTTTCCTGCTGCTTTTATTACAAAAGCAGACATAATTAGTAAATCTCAGATTTGTATGCATGCGCAGCACTCTCCCATTATTCACAATGGATTATTTTCCAGACTATCTACACTAGCCTCCTAAACTTTGTTTGGGAGAAAAAGACATGCCACTCTGTCTTCCTCATCCTCCCTACATTTTATTCAAATATGGAACTATTTCCTAATTGGGCATATTATGTTTGCCAGACCAGGTAGTACCACTAAATATTTGCGTGAAACAAACCTTGCCAATGGCTTGTCGTACTTTGGTAAGGGCCTCAGTATGTTCTGATGCTGAGATTCAGTTTCCAGTTAAATAGTATACAAATAAAAAACAAACAAACCAAACAAAAACCCTAAGCAGCTTCACCTCCCATAAAAACAAAGTATAAATAAAATATTAAAAAGTTAAATATCTAACTGCAAAGGAAACAATCCATCAGTCTTGGTTTCTCACACAGATGCAGAAAAGGTAAGCTGTAACAATTTACTCCCCAGATTTCTATTTTGTTTGCATATCTTTTATTTCCTCTTCAACAGTCCCTATTGAAGCCAAAACATTTGATAATCCAAATTAAATACAGTTCATCCATCCTTTCAAAACAATCTTGCAAGGATGTAATTTTCATTCCTCTTCTTTCCCTGTCCCCACAAAAAAGACAACTGCCAATATTCTGTGGCATTGCTTCCCAAATTCTCAAGAGATATGATGCGTCCATGATCCTACAATACACAGAATAAGCATAGCCAGTAGAACTTAAAGATATAGAAGCATTAGTGTGATAAGCATTGGAAGAACACATAATTCCAGCTCCCCATGATAAAAGCCGGCTGAAACAGAGTTAGAATAGGCACAAATGATGACAACAGAATCATGCAGAGTAACAAGTGTATTTCTTGTAACAGCTAGGAGAGCTTAAATTGCTTTAATACACACAGTAAAGACTCAGAAGGAATAAATATGACTATAATTTGAAAAATGGGAGTGAGAAGGGAGATGGAGAAATGAGTTGTGGCAACACTGTTCTTTTGCTTAGACAAGAACAACATGAATATAAACTGACCTTAAATAAATTTAAGCTGAAGAGCGGGGAGTTCTGCTGCACATTAAAGCCCTACCTTCTTTAAGGAGAAAAGACTCAGCGGAATTAGGAAGCATTCTATATCATACAATTATACAATACAAGGATACTAAACTTGACAACTCATGAAATACAATACATTCAATATTGTGTCTAGAGAGTCTTCTTACTTACAAAACAAAACCTTTTAATGAAAAGCTTTGTATAATGTAAGCTTTTATCCCAACATGTTAATACTTTTCACTACCTTTGGAAAACTGCTTTATTGTGTTCATAGCTGCATTTTGAATGGCTTTTCCTTTTTCAAACTCTTCCTTAACTAACCCTGTGAAATTGGTACTTTTTTCCTAGAGCCCTTTCAATGCTTTTGTTGACCTCTTGACATCCATTTACCCATTAGATCCAGGCTTAAGCTCTTCCCTCTGCTGTAGGAATTCAGAGCTATAAACTGCAGACCGATCTGCCAAGGTATAGATGCTCTGACAAATGCACTTACAGAGTTCAGCTCTTCAGTTATAGAAACTGTGAGATAATGGCTTTTTCTAAAGCAGAGAACATTTCAACAATAGTTACAGAAAGCACATTCTTACACACCAGCAGAGTTATTACAAACAAAATAATCTATCAGTTTATGTGAAAACTTAAATTCTGAATGAAGGACACTTCATAAATTTTACAGAGCTTTCCAACTCTGCAATTTGCTATGCAAATGTGAGAATGTTTTGAGTGGGGGAGAATGGAGGGTAACACCGATGACTTATTCTACAGCACTTCCCAAATACTTTACCCCACATACTTCTTTTCTTACAGAGGGAAGACTCGCTTCTGTGTGACCATATTACTTTGTTCAACAGTTATACTTCCACACAGCATAAACAAATGTGTCCAAACTATCTCGGGCCCTACTTACAGAACACAACGGTTCGCTTTTTAAATTAAGTTTTCACAACAGAAGTAGGAACATCTTATCCTTCACACTAAAGCTCATTAAGTTTAACTTCAAAATCTTTGTGACTAAACCATGAGAAATCTGCCTTACTCAGATAAGGAAGCTTATAAAGCTAACTCAACATTTGAGAAGTGACTTCTGTCAAGTTTTGCATGTAATCATTTAACAAATTTAAATGTATACTTAAGTGTATGAATAGTGACAAGAGACATCGTTTAAAATACACCATAAAACAGAGTTTCACATGAAAGACATATCCATTAGTGAGAGACATTTATTTTAAAATCAAAGCATCTCAGCATATGGTGAACAGAGAATAAAACAAACTTTCAAGTTGCTTAAGGAAGTAAGTAGAAATACCTTACTGTCAAGCTTTAGCATGACACTTCCAAGTCCTCTGATGGGTCGTGGAGCAAGAGCTTCCCGACGTTCCTTCACAAAATTCTCAACAAATTGCCACCAACTTTTGCAATGGTTTGCCAAGAAGTTCAAAACTCCAAAATGAACCACAAGTTTTTTAAGTGCCCAAACTGTAACCACAAGAAGGAAATTAAGTATCAGAGATTTCAGACGAGCATTACAAGACTACATATCTATTCCGTTCTGAAAGACCTATGACAAAGAAAGGAAAAGACTTTTGAGTTTTATTTCCCATTAGAAACCACTCTCAGAATTTTCAAGTGGTTTCAGTAGTAATCTCCTCACTCGCTTCACAGCTATGCTTATCCACATGGAATTTAGACGACAGCAGAAGAAAGGTGCCTGCACACTATTCAATAATGCAGCTAACAGACTTGAACAAGAGCTGGGACAAGAAGGTGTCATTCCATGATTCCAGTACAGTGGATGTCTCACATGTTCATACATATACCATGCCAGGTGACTCCATGTAAAATACCACATTCAGAACATTAACATCAGAACATTAACAGCAGAACATAACTTTTATGTTACACATAAAAGAAAATTTTCAGTCTAAATTCTTAAGTTTTAGGCCTTTACACTGTTAAACTATACCTTTCCTTTAAGAATTGACAGGAGACTTATTTCACAGTAAAGAAGCCTCCATTTTAATCTTCTGCAGAAGTACTACTGAGAGATTTCGCTTCTAAATATCAAAAAGCCAATTTTGAGATCAGTCTTTTGTCTTGGCTACATTTGATACTGAACTCCCTCTCATTACATTAAAATGTATTTTTAATAACACTTTTCCTTTACTGTGAAAGACTATTCTCCAAACTAGATTCATTACTTACTGCCATATGTTAACTCCACAGTAGTCAGCAGTACACTACCTCATCCTGAAAAATTCACACTGTGCTTCTATCTGGAGATGCATAAAATAACATACATAGCCTAAAAGGTTAACTTTCACTATCCGTAGGGCATTTATCAAAGTTTCACAAAAGCCTATTTTCTCAAGCCACACCTGTGATAGTTTATGTCCTTGCTCCAGGAGAGCCAGTGCATCAATTTGCTGACATTTGGTTCACTTACCCTCTGGCACCACCATGTGGCAAATATGGGATTTATTCTCTTGAAGAAAGAATAACCCAAAAATCTTTCTACTAAAATCATGAGTCAAACATACAAAAAAGGAGAAAATACAGTGCGAGTGCCAGCATCAAACTTATAGGCTGAAGTTCTGTATGATGAAATGCAACTCATGGTCAATACACAAACTGCTGCTCAGCAAAACTGGGCAAGCTTGCACTTTACAAGGTGAACAACACACCTGAAATGGCATTCTAACTTTCCACTAGTATTTGAACAATATCATCTAAAATAACTGAATGTACATTCATTGCAAAGGTGACGTCAGGAGGTGCTACAGTCAAGCAAATGTCTATAGTTATATTAGGTTAAAAAGAGATGAGAGAAAAAGCTAAAGAAGGACTGTTATTAGAATGTTGTGAACAAAATTAAAAAAAGGCTGCTTAATAAGAAATCCCAGGAAGCAGAAAATTACCTGAAGACAAAAGAAAAAAAGGATACAACAGAACAAGCAAGGAAGCAAATGAAAGATCTTAAAAAGAAGCAATACGAGGATTCCCAGGGTCATATCACTGAACAAAATGCTACAAGTGTTCCACAGCCTGGTTTACTGCTTAGCTTTTAAATCCATAGCAGTCTTTTCAATTTTTAATTTTATGGTTTAATTACAGTATAATTTTTCCACCCTCTTCACTAAGCAATTTTAAAAGATTACCTCATTCCACCGAAGTACAAATGCATTCAAGGAAAAATGCCAGTGGTACCAAGATGTTTCTAATAATCTAAACACTACTTCATGTGAGTCCTCTCTACCAATATAAGGAACTCTGGTGAAATTAACACCTTTTTATTTAAGGTTTTGGGGAGGGGGTTTTTTGTTGTGGTTTTTTTTTTTTTTTTTTTACATACTAGAAGCATTCTTCTTAAGGTCTCAGAAGTGCCTAAAGTTATTAGCCTCATTAAACTTCAACAGTTGTAAGGGAGCTTGCTTTATAAGCTTTCCTATTTTCCAAATATTTTTACTATTAACTCTCTTATAATGATTCCAGATTATCGTAATTCACCATCTGACATTTAATGTAATCCACTGTTCCAAATTTGGCTTTATGCATCATTATATTGCTTATTTGTAATATTTTTGTGATGATCCAGTTATATTCAGCTATATGCCAAGAAAAAGCACTTAATGGTCTAGTGTCACTGCTAAGGCAATAAGTCACAAATATTCCCCAAAGTAATTTCTCTTTTGGCATAAGTTTATTGGTTGGGTGGTTACTTTAGACATAATGACTGGCAGCAGCAGTATTCATTTGTTTCATTTATAGATATGCACTTTAATCTAGATTTGTCTGGCTCAAGCTTAAAACCATCCATTGCCATCTGTCTAATTGCAGAACTGTTCCATTCATTTTTCCCCCCACCCAAGTAGGCATTTCTGAACAGTGGTTAAGTTATTCCTCGACTTTTCAATAAACTAAGCCACATAAGCTCTGCTTCTACTAAGTCTAAAATTCATTTTCTAATCCCTTTATCACTTCTGATAGCCATTTCTCACAATACCTAGACGCCAAAACTGGGAAGTTTCTTCTGTAGTAACTACACTGAAATGAAACAAAGGTCAAATCCCTCTCTCCTCTTCTCCAGCACTCAGCTATTTATATGCCTAGCCATCACATTACCCTTGAGCTGCTGCTACAGTGCCACAGCCAAAGGTGCAGCTGTTCCTTTCACTGTGCCTCCAGGAGTACACAGCCCCTTGAGCCCATAGAGCTCCATGGCCACGATTTCCAGATGCACAACTAGATGGTTTACACTAGCCTTGTGTATTGCGTGCAAATCTCAAGGTTTTAGTAGCAGAGAGGCCTCTGGGGTGGCCTTCATGAGGAGAGACCACAAGGTATCATGTGCGAGACGCAGTTCCAGGTGGCTCCACAACAGATTCATCACAGGCCAAAGCTGAGCCCTGCAGGCACAGATGTGTGGTGCTTTGGTGAAAAAGTATTTAAGAAAGGGCACAAAACACCAGACAAGGAGAAGAGGAAGGAACATAGAAAGAACAAGTGACTAGAGAGAAAGAAGGAACAGAGGGATGAACAGAGGCAATAAAAAGGCCAGGGAAGCAGACGTTCCACAATGAAACAGGCACGCCACTCAGAGGGACCAGAGCCTGTGGAGGACCCATGCTGGAGCAGGTATACATCTTGAAGGGACTGTGGTCTAGGGATAGGAGGCCTGAGCTGGTACCTCCATAAGAAAGGGACTGCAGCTCATGGATAAGCCCACATTAAAAGACAGGAAGAGTGATTGGTTTTGTGAGTATTTGGCCACTTGGCTCGGCCAACCCAACTTGCCCACAGAGCCTAGCAACCTATTTTTCATAGAAATTAAAAGTTAACATGAGCAAAACTTCACTATTGAATAACAGCTGAAATATTCTTTATTATAGGTGCAAAAATATGAAAGAGAAGACAACAAAAGGAAGAAAAACTAACTTCTCTAAACTAGAAGTATTTTTACGACGTAAGATATGGCACTCCATTATTTCAAGTAACTACAACAGTCAACAGACAAAGCAATTTTACAGAGTTGTCCACTACATTGTAACAGACAGTGCACATCAATCTTCCTATCTGAAGCTAAAATTCATCTTAACAAGTCTTGAAAAAGTTTTAAATTAAAACTCATACAAGCCTACAAGCCTTTCCTTCTATTTTATCTAACACAGCGCCTAAGGTTACTAAAGTCATCATTTAACAAATATTTCTAATAATTGGATTATTACCTGCAAAAGGCACTGGCAATAGTTGCACAATCCAAAAATTTAGCCAGATCTGAACAATGACGATGGCCCACACAAGTGTAACAAAGTAAATATCACTCGTTTTCTTTTTTCTAAGAAAAGATCCAATCTCAGGTCTTTGTCTGTTCCCAGAAGAAGATGAAGAGGAGGAGATAGATGGTGCAGCACGTGGAGGCTGATCACCTTCTGTTGCTCCTAAAACAAACACATGCAAACAAAGAAGAGGAAATTATCACATTAATATTCACCACAAAATAGAATAGCTCCCTATTCCTAAATTAACTTTTTTTTTCTGTGGTGAAGGAGGAGGGCAGAGAGCTGTGTTTTGCTGTTTGTTTTGGGGTTGGGTGGTTTTGGTAATTTCTGTAAAAGACAGCCTTGGCACTGATCTGCATTTTGAAAAGTCAGAATAGGGCTATGTAAGCTCTCCCACATCCCGCAACACCATGCCAAGTAGTGCTGGGAGAAGGAAAGAAGAAAAGTTGCTCTAAGAGGCCTCCTGTCACTGCAGACAAATTACAAGCCAAATATATTTTATCAAAGAACCATAAAACCATGAAAAACATGAAATATAATTCACTTCTAAAAGAAATCTGAAGTCTTAAAATTAATCTTCGATTTCCCTTTACTTCAAGTACTCAAAAAGGAATCTTAGATTCGCTCAAAGTTCATTTAAACAAAATAAAAATTATAGAGCATACATTGAAAAGAAAGCTTGTACCTTACCAATTTCTTACTATACTACTACTTTTCCTGAACACTTACAACACAAACATAGCACTCACACTGTGATCATAAATTCCTTGCTTGTGTAACACACATTAGTAACACCAAGCATAAATTAGTGGGTAACAAATGTTGTCATCCTCTCACTCCAAAGTTAGCACACATGAAATTCAATTAGAAAATGTGAACCAATGTGTTAAAGACCCTTATACATGAACAGTAAGTAGTAATTTCATGTAAAAATATTATGGTCAAATTAAAATTCTTGTATACAGAACATGGCAATTTATTATTTATTTAACTTTCTTGTTGGCAAGTCTGCCTAGTATGAGTGACACCAAATCCATCTTCAGCCATTCTACGTAGAATCTCTCCCTGAGAACACTAGTGTTAACTTTTGCTGAGTCTCCGTGCTGGTGTCAAAACGCACACATTTCCAACACGCCACTACTTGAGAAAAATTTGCAGCCATAGTGGAGGAACACACACAGAGGAAAACCCAAGAAGTCACTCTATGCTGAAGAATAAAAGGCAATTTATTATGCTGATACATACCACAGTTGATAAACAATGAACATAACCCTTTCACTGGATTTGTGTCACATCGACACATCTTCTCCCATGAAGAAAAACTGCTGTAAAAACTGTACAACACACTGCATGCACATCAGTCAAACAATTTGTGTTCCACACACGTGTTTTTAGCTGCAATGTGTCACTAAAGCCATTTCTAGCCTAAAGCATGACAGCCTGAATGTGCAAAAAGACAAGACCGATTTGTCATACGTGTACAGTGGTGGTAAGTGACAAACTCCGCATCCTCACACACTGGATGAACACTCTTCTTTTGCTGCAGAAGTCTGCACTGGTGTTCTACAAGTAAGTGGAACTATTTTTAGAGCTTATAAACACATTCCCCACCACACTAATACAATAATGCAGATCTATTGATTCACCCAACTGATGGACACTGGGATGATGACAAACATCAGCTGGTTGCTGTTTATGTATTTGGTGGAACTTCAGAATGCTGGAATTACAGCATGCAATGTGAAAGAAGGAACTCTGCAAGCAGCTGAACACAGCAGAAGCTTCTGGTGGGGTGGTTCTTGGCAAATCAGGACATGTCTCAAAGGGATGATGGCCAGCCCTACCACACAAACTATACTTTCGAGAAAAAGACACAAGTTAATTTTTCATAAGAGGAGAGAAAAAGTTACCTGCAAACAGAAATTTTCCTAAAAAGACAAACTGTTTTTGTCATATGAAAGAGGGTCTATGATTCCCCTGTACTTCTCAGCCTGTTTTTAATGAAGCAGAAGAGTACTAACAGAAACAAATGGATGCATCAAAGGAACACAAATTTGGAAGCAGTGTATCCATAACTATATCTCCTCTATCAATTCAACTTACTGAACACTTCTTACTTTTTTTCTCCGAAATTAATACAGTCAACATAAAAAGTAACATTCCAACAAACAGAAACTCAAATATTTATCAAAGAAAAGGAAGCGCTAAAAGCTAAAACAGAACAATAAGCTGAAGTCTATGCCTAAGATTAAAGTTATTCAACATTTTTTGCCCAAAAAAGTCCTTAGTAGAGTCATCTTCATGAAATAAAAAAATTCCTTCTTTTGGTAATGAAAAATTTGATACACTTTTTCTTGCAATGAAGAAAATCTTAACTGAATAACAACAACAGTAATGTTAAGAGCAATAGCAATCAAACAGCCTTATTCTCTTACAGTTTCCCTATTAAGCAAACTGTACACAGAATGCAAAACAAATGGGAAAGAGCTTGGGGGGGAGAACTAAAAAAATCTTAGGGGACCTGAAGACATGAACACTTCTTCAGAATGCAGTTCCACAGCACTTTACGCAGAACTAAACCGGCACTGTCAATGACCCAGTATTCTCCCCATGACAAACACACACCTGCATCAGAACTGCCATTCAGATGATTGCATCCTAAGTCAGTTCACAAAGGTGATCCGCCCAGAAAGCCATCAAAATTTTTGCAAATTAAAGAAGTCACATTCTCTGGGCAACATCTGCTCTACAAACCAAGGCATGAGTGCCTTTGTCAATGCAAATGGGGAAAAAAGACCTATCAGTATAGTGATTCAGAGTAACTTTGGATTCTGTAAAATCTCATTTAGTGTGCTTCATGATATTTTGAGATGAAACCTGAAAAACACCTTTCTATATTCCAACCAATGAAAGTATGACAGTCTAAACAGTTAATAGATACTCAGTAAAGAATTATAGCAAAATCTGAATGCATGGTAGTTCTTTGAATATAATAACAACAAAAAAAGCAAATTTTCAGGTTGTCCTATTAAGACACATTATTTTAATTTAGACAATACGTTCTTTGTCATGTCAACTTCTTGCTGTCATAGAATTTTGAATTATTCTCATCTCCAAGAAGAAAAAAACCCAGCAGCATTAACAGAGAGTTGTCCACATCTTTTCACAATTTCAAGAGAAAAATATTTTTATGTGCGTTTTTTTAAGAAATTAAAGAAGCAGAGGGCAAAAGGGAGAGTAAGAGTCATGAATACATTTAAGGATTTCAGTATCTATCATAGCCAAAGCCAACAAGACAACAGAATCTTTCCTAAAAAGTACTGCAGTGGTATCTGCTTCATAAGGTGCAGACTCCTCCTTTGCTGTATATTGTGGAAACTCCTGGAATACCAGGAAGGACCACTTAGACCACCTGCACCGGTATCATTAAACTCCTTGCCTCCAGTACAACATACCAGTATTCGACAACAAAATATGGAAAAACATGAGTGTTCAGAAAAAACTATAAAATCAACACAGCTTATTTCCCCGCACAGTCTTTCAATGAACAAATTTAAGCCACATGGAGAACAGTAAAAACCAAGTATTGATTGTTCTACAATTGATTTAGTATAGTATAAGGAGAACCAAAAAAGTTGTAGGTTCTTAAGCCTGTAGGTAAAACCTTTTGCTGTACAAGAATAATGTTTCATCACCATTCACAAAAGATCCAAACCAAAGATGGCCAAACTTATGCTTAATATATCACAGAATAGAATGCTAATTTCCAACAGACTGTTGCAAAAGTATTTTAACTATTGTTAGGAGTTAACAGGAAACTCCACATTTGTTCTTTTCCTGCTGTACAGGAAAACAATAACAGAATTTGCAAGACAAAAAGACCCATCTGGTTAACTGTTTCAAGAAGATAAGTCAAAAAAACATTCACTGTAAAAGACACTTTTTTAAAACTGCTGTAGTTTTCTTAAAAACAGAACAAAAACTGTCTTAAAGAAGTGAAAAAATTAAAATTGGTAACTTAAAAAAAAAAGCAAAAAAGAACACAACCACTTACATAGCCTGGGTTTTTTTTGTTGCCTGTTGCTTGACCAGATTTCAAAATTCAACTCAAAAAAACCCCCAAAAACCTCATTTCCAAAATTAAAGATGGTATTTTGACTATAGTCACATAAAATGTAGAAACAAAGGTAAGAAAAGAGTAAGTTGTCTAAAGCTGCCCTTCTCACATTTAAAAAATAAGTTTTGGAATTTCACTTTCTCTCAAGTTGAATGATCTGTTTGGTTTACTTCCAGGAAATGGACGAAACTTTTTCCAGAGATCTCAATAATAGCTTAATTTTCTAGTATAGCATTCCATCAAAGATGAACCCAAAAATGAAGGTAAGGTTCAAAAGCAGTGATGGACATCTAAACACCTTCTTTGCAGCTCTTTCAAGCCAGTTGTGTTATTGCAAGTGAAAGTATAATGTGACTCAAGCTACAGTGTCAAGTAAACTTGCTATAGGAGGGACTTTGATCACGACATGGTTAAAGTGGTTTTTTTTCTCACTATGATGTATACAAAAATTATTCCAGTCTGTCTGTACCTGGTGGAAAAACCCAGTTATATCATGTAACTGCCAACAAATCAAAAGGCTAGGAAAACAAAAAAAAATAATAATAAAGAACAAGAAAAAAATCACTGAAAAAAAAACCAAAACCATAATAAATCCTTCTAGTCAGGCCTTCAAAACGTACAGCCAGCCACACAAACTATCCTTTGCACAACAGCTTTTATTTTATCATCTTCTTAACATTTTTATAAACAGATAAACCTGATTCATAAGGGAAGTTTAAATGTACTATTTTGGACAGAATTAAGCGATAGGTAATATTTGGAAATTTGTTCTTAATTCCCTCCAATTTCATGCCTTTAGAGCAAATTCAAATGTTTCTTACAGAGTATTCAGTCACCTGAGGGTTGGGAGGAATGTTCATTATTAGACTCATCTTCTGTCATTGAAATTGCCATGGCAATTGTTGAAGCAGCAATGGAAATCATCTGACCAGGAAGCTCTGCCCCTGTAAAATATATATGTGTATGTGAATAAAGAAAAGCTTAAGTCTTAAAATGTTTTATTTTCTGTTTGATACCCACTGAAGCTGCCAAGCAACAGAAATTATATGGATAGACCCTGTTATTTTTTAGTATGCATTATATGTACTCAGTATGACCAAACAGGAATGAGTGCCATTAATTTTAGTATTAAACACAATTTTTGGTGCCAAAACTCAAAACCAGTTATTTGCTTAGTGCTTTTCTTGCTAATGAACTGCTACCAACCAAATAATTTGTGGTTGCTGTTAGTCTGATCATTCAAAAACTTTTTATACCAATTAATCAGTTTTACTAACCAACTAAAACAGCAAGACAGGAAAAAAGTTTTCTTCACCAGGAACAACTGATGTTTATTTTTTGCAAAACTGACTCACAACTGGCAAAACCTATTCTTCCAAAGTCTTAACACAAACCATTACTTTGAGAAACTGGTATTTTAAAAATGAATGATTGGATATAAGAAACTTCCTGAATAGAGTTGTCTCAGTTTCTCTCATACTCAGTATCATAGGAGCTACTAAACCTATATTGCTCATTTCTTTCAAAATTATCCTCTGATTTCAAAAATCACAGGCTACGTTTATGCTTGAAACTCGGGTTTAATAATGAGTCACTACTTTACCATAGTAAGGAAATACCAGTCCATTGTAATCATTTTCTGTAAAGAATCAAAGATTCACTTCATCTCTAGTAAACCACTTTGAAACAAACATACTAAAAATCTCATAGTAAATTCTTGAAATCCATGTGCTATTGAATTTACAGGGTCCAGATTCTTTCACATGACTTTATAGAACTTTTGCCTCCAACAATAAAAGAAACAGTGACTTGTTCTTACCAGAAGACTCCTTTCCATTCTGCTGTTCATGCAACATGCCTACAGTCATCAGAACAACTATAACCAGAAACACAGGAATTCTCCAGGAACCTGCCACAGAAGCTGAAAGACACAGTGTTGGGATTTTTTTTTTAATAAGAAAAATGACACCATTAATAAACTCTACATTCAGCAAAACCTGGAAAGGCACCACATCAACCAAGAACAACCTAGGCAAAGACTAAGAAGTGTCTTAAAACAAACAAGTTTTCCATATGCAAGAAAAGGAAGAATAGAAAACACAGGTGAACAAGTTTCTCAATGAATAAATCAAGTTGTTACTGTTCCTAACTTAAGTGAATTTAAACTATGCTGATACAGAAAACAACTTTAAAAACAACTTGCAAAATCACATGAAAATACACACAAAATGAAAATATTTTAGATATGAGGCAGATCAAGTTCCCCCCTAAAATGTGTATTCGTGTTAGATCTCCACAGAGTGGGATAGAGCAGGGCCTTCTCAGGCCTTGGCTATTCAGCTACTACTACTATTAAATGCATTTTACAGCTTCAGCCTTGGTTAATAGCAGGCTGTCAACACAATAATAATAATACCATCACAAGTGAAAGTCTAAAGCCACCCACATGTTACCCTAGCCTTTCCTCAATGTCAAGGAGTAAGTATCTGGTCCATCTATCAAATAAGGGAAAACCGTGAGAAGTACAAGAAGTTTTTCTCATGGAAAACCATGAGAAGTATAAACTAGGTAGAAGGAGCAGAAGACATATGTTGCTCAGCATCTTGATACCTTCCCATTCCCTACTCCAATGTTCCCTTCTGGACACATGCAGCCAGAATTACTGAGCAGAGAAAACAGTGTGCACTTCAGCCAAGACTCCATTATACAGATTCACCAGGAAAGCAGAGGAGGAGCTTTGTTGACAGAACCCCCACGAACGCATCAAAATAATGACTTCTAGTTACTCACCTAAGTGAAAGAGCAGCATAATCCAAACAGGAACAGAGACTGCTTTTAAGTAACGTTCAGTGCTTATATTCCACTTGAATGAAACCATCAGAAGGTAACCAACTACCAATGTCCATATCTGTAAGAAAAAGATACACATAGGTATGGATACACATATGAAAACAGAGCTCTGTTGTACTCATGTATGTGTGTACACACATGCACAACCCCATAACTGCCATATAGAGAGAACTGAACTCAGCTTCGCAGTCTTTAAGAAGCCCACATTTCAGTCAATTACAAGAGTTTTTTTCTCCATGCAGGAGAAATATAAACTCAGTGTGAAGCATAAGGGCAGGCTAGTACGGTTCTAACGCGGGGGGTATAGATGCTTTGCCGGGCACAAACCCCAAAGGAAGGTGATCAAGCAACTACTCTGGAATTATTATCTAAAGGTGAGAATCTAAATGAAACAGGGTCATCAGTGGCACCCATAGGGCCACGAGAAGACGGAGCACAGCACCACTCGTTTCAGCACAGAGCAGTTTGCCAGCTCCTGTGTTCCCATCCAAAGGGACAAAAGGAGCTTTAAGCCAAAGAAGCCATTAGGAAGCAAGGGAAAAACTGCTGTTCCTCAGCAGTGTTGGTCCACAAAACAGAGATGCCTTTAAATGACTTATAACATGTAAATTTATCATATATTTAACTAAAAAAAACAAGGAGACGAGAAGGCATCAGCGGCAGCATATCAAGAAACAGAAGCGGTCATTTGGGGTTTGCTGCTTCTAACTGCCTTCTACAACTTTGCTTATCAGATAAGTCACAATACAGAATTCTAATTATGAATCCTGAGATGAAGAATTTGAGCTTGAAAATGCTGAAAAAAAGGAAGCAGTGGCAACAGGAAGTGAAAAGCTGCTACTCAGGAGAAGGTATGAAATAAAAGAAGTACAAAAACCTGCAAAAATAAAGACTCAGTGTTGCATTCTTAAAATTAATAAAGACATTTCTGGCTCAAATTCAACAAACATTCCCTATCCATAACTAGTTAAACCCACCTTCAAATTTACACTTATAAGTCCATAAATCCCAATGTATTTTTAAGAGAATTTCTATTAACAGAATTTGCTGAATCAGACATCACTGTAAGAAGTAAGAATGCACAGGCAGAGATACAGAACAAGTAATAAGGCAGAACACAGAAAGAGTTTTCACCTCTTTACCTTGCACTATCTGCCTCATGCTGAAGATGCAAGAGTCCCTGTGAAAAGCAGGTTTGTACAACTACTTCCATTTATTTAACTGGTGTAGAGGAAATCTTAACTGTACTGAATCAAACAGACAAGCAGTCATGGTCTCTGGTAACTTCAGAGGGAATGATCACACATGTAAAGTAATTTAAAACCGCTTAAGATATGTGAACAAAGGTATACCCTTTCCATACTAATCTTTCTAAGCAAAGCAGATCGCTAACTTTTTTCCCTGCTACCTAGCTCTAGCTTTTCATCAATACAGCTCCAAATAGCTTATGGCCAAGTGTGGACTCAAGACAAATGTTTAAAACTAATATAACCCATGGACATTAAGACTAAAGTCATAAACAAACAAAAATTTTTATTGGAAATGCACAGCAGCACTCCTTTAACAGCATAGGTTTGTAACGAATTCAGTCACAAGGCATGGGCAGCACAGCTGTAATTGCAAGAGGTAACTCATCACAAAGATGCTATCCTACTTGCTAACATCAGCTACATAGCACCTTTGTATGACAAATCTTCCAGCATCAAGTAGATTTTTCTCTTTAGTTTTTAAATTTAATGACAAATTACAAATGGGAGACTCAGTATGTTCAGTAATTTAAACTGTCTGAATAAAACCAAGCCAAAAGTAGGAGGCTAAGAGGGAGTAAAACTGTTTAACAGCCAACAAAGCCAAACACATTGCACTTTTAGCCATGCATGTAGCTGAACATCACAGGGTTTAGGTATTCAATAATCTTTTGTGTTGTAAGTTAAAATAATCGACCAGTTCTCATTTCTAAAAGCTTAGCAAACGACCCAAGTAAAAGTATTTATTTCTACTGAATAGAGAGTAATAGCTTACTTTAAAATAAACAAGTTGCCTTGTTCCAGAGATCAAACAATAACAATCCTGAAGCAGTGTAAAAAAAGCCTATGTAGTCAACCGACTGGTGACAAAAGTTTAATTTCAGTGACACTCTTTATTGGTTGATGTGATGGCCAAGCACTTTCCTACACTTCAAGAATCACTGCACAGGAACTAGGGTAGCCTACTTCCAACAATTCATAGTTGAAAGCAACTTACAAAGCAAATTAAGCTAAATTGACACGGACTAGGATTTCATCCCATACTGACTTGGCAATAGCATACTGTTTTTTTCTTAACTCTTTAAAGGCATATTACATAATCTTTCCCACTTTTTCAGGATGGTCTCCAAAGGTTTTGGCTTCAAGACAATGAGAATATAAATAGCCTCTTTACTACTATATGTCCTTCTCAAGAACTGACATAATTGAAAGAAAAAATAAAAGATATTGACTACTTTCATTAAAATTAAGCTACTTCTATTATTGCAATGAAACTGGAATTGATAAAATTCTATGCTAGACCAAAATGTCTATAAATTTGATTTAAAAGAGTATAGAGCTAACCAGGTAACTAATTCATACATTTCAGACTTCACAGAATGCATTAGCTACCATAAACTATTGATTTATCAAGCTGTAGTCAGTTTGCAGATGCCTGTTTCACCATGTACTCTGAGATTTTGAATCACTACTCAATCACAATTGTTATTTACAAATGTTATCTTAATTGTGTGAACAGACAGTAAAGACCTCATTTTCCACACCTGCTTTGTATTTTGTAGCATCCCTCAAAAATTGAACAAAATATTGTTTTGCCTTTGAAGTAAAACCACCTGCTTCCCTGAACAAATAGACGTAAGACTGCAGTTCTTGGATTTTGGCATCTATTTCTGTGTTAAAGTGGTAAATTTAAGAGGCCAGATTTAAAGATGCCTTAGACAAGTTCTGAAGGGCTTCATTTCTCTTTAAATTGCCAACTGGAGGCAAAATTACACCATAGAAAGATTAAGCTTTTATGTTAAACACAATCATCTGCTTCAGTGATTTTTCTTTTAAATTTTAATTTTGGAAAGCCTAGGATTCATCAGAATGACCATATCACCGACGTTACTGAAAGTCTATTTCCCGTTACTGTTCAAGTTGAAAGATTTGAAAATCTGAGCCACTCGTTTGGCCTTGGCATCAGTTTTCAAGAACAAACTCAAACTCAACTTTTGACAACGTTTATATTGATTTATATTGGAGAGTAAAATCCTTTATCTACACGGTTCCCTCCCTTTCTTTCCTATCAACAAGTTAATCTCAAAGAGGGAGGTTTAACAGATGAGCTCATTTAATAGCTCACTGCTACTGAAAGCGGCAGTTCATTCTCTCTTACTGCCAGTTGGGCGGTCCCACCTCTTCTGCACAACGGGTTTAACATTCATCCAGCCAGCTCAAGCTCCCTAAGCTCATAAAAAACTATCTGTAATTCAGTTATAGCAAAACAGGCTCACAGAAATATGACAGGGCAACTGAAGCATATGTCAGAAGTGGGATAAGCAAGAACAGTTCTTCACTGGTAGCAAAGCTGTTGGAATGATTTAGTCTTTCTTGGAATGTTGCCCCAACAACGTAACATATGGCAGCAAACACATTCCCTACCTGCTTCATGTGCCTTCTCAGGCAAATGGTGTGATTCTTGGGGTGGTCCTATGCAGTGCCTGGAGTTGTATTTCAATGCTCCTTGTGGGCCCCCTCCAACTCAGGATATTCTATGATTCTATGAACCACCTCACAGTAAACACAACAGTGAAGACTGAGAAGATTAACTAACAGCTACTTCTTTTGATATATGCCCTGCCAACTTTCCAAAATTTTTCAGTTTTTAACAAGTCAGGACCTACTAAATGAGGTGTTTCAACTCTCGTTTTCTAGTTGTCTACAGTCTCCCTTGGCCATTTTGAAGTGGTATTTTTTTCCAGGCTGCTCTTTTCAACTTGAAAATCATACAGCAAGGTTTTTAGGGTTTGGTTTATGTTTTGGTTTGTTGTTTGTTTTTTTAATTGAGATTTAAATTTAAAACTGCTTGATGAAACTACAGATTTAATTAAATTGCTTTCTATTTTCCAGTTTGTTTCAGCATTTTGAACCAAGAAAAAGGCCCTAACTACCTCATCACTTCCCTTTAGCATTTTAAAATAAAATTTTCATTTGAAAATAGAGATTTTCATTGTTTTTTCTTAAAATAGAAAATCCTTATAAACACATTGACTACACATTAACACAGCACTTTCTCAAACTTTTAGAACTGTGCTGTAGTGCAAAGCTGGTTCAAAGAAGTGATTTTATGATACAAGTTCATCATTTCTATATCTTCCTCCTCAGCAGTGATGAAGGCTGGCAAAGGAAAACAAACCTACCACAGAAGCTGAGCAGAATACTGTTGGACTTGAAAAATGCAGCAACACACAGCACTAAACCAAACTGTGTTTGCCTTCAAAAAAATCAGTGTTTTCTTCAGCTTTCTGTTCATTTGAAAATGGTTTTATAAACAATATAAAAGATAATAAGGAGGCGGGTGATGAATTATGAAAATGTCATTTTGACTCAAATTTTCAGAAAATTAATTTTAGGTGGCTATACTGCATATTCCTTGGTATACAAGAGGAAATATCCCACAGTGTGTAGAGTCTGGCAGAGTAAGAATGTGTAACTGTCCTTCATTCAGCATGGAGAAAGCCTTTGTCAAACAGATCAAACATGCGAGATGTTTGATCATCATCATTTTTGTTCACCTCAGAGCAAAGTCAACCACCTCTTCCCTTCACTAAGGAAGCCATCATTTACCTAAAACAGGTTCTAAGTGAACACAAGTAAGTTATTCCTTGCCCCAGGTCCAAAGGACTAGAATAGTGCACCCATTCTGTTTGTTCTAAAACCCCCAACTTTGACATATACCCATGTCAACATGTTTGGCATTAAAACACACAGACTACTAAACCACATGAAACAGAAACATAGTGTTGACTGAGATCACCCTCTTTTGAAGGGACAAAAGTATGAACCCATAACTGAAACCTGGGGGGGGGGGCAAACTGACCATCAAAATCTACACCGGCACACATGGGTTAAAAGTATTTTCAATGTGTCCTGCAACGTTTCCTACACTGTGAGTTTAAGAAAGAAAATATTAAATATAAGATATCCAGAAGATTGCAGTTATGGATGTCAAAAATATTTCTCCCTTAGCTCACTTCTCCTGTCTTAATACAAAAGTTACTTATGAGAAACTCACAATAAAAACACTATTTAGAAATCAAGCTTAGCAAGATTCACTTGCAAAAAGAGGTTTTATGAAGTACATCAAATTCTTTCCCTGCAGACAGATACCACTCTCTGAAACCTTTATGGTGACACTTTTGCAAGAGATGGCTCCTCAACATACACAACTTCTTCACTTTCTTGTTTTACTATATAGAGTATAGTTAAAATTTTGCTGGACAGTTCCAAAATGATCATTTCTTTGAGAGGTGGTAGAAAAAGAAACATCATTGTGTTCAAATACATATAAATACCAATAAATAACTAATATTATGTAGCATATATCATTAGGTTTTAGGCTAGTGTCAGCTTAGAGTTTGGGGCTACAGTTCATGCATATAAATCAAAACAAGCTCCTAAGCCTCTTCAAGAAAGGTACTTCACTGCATGCTCTTCCAAAACTGAGGGTGGGTGTGGAAGGGAAAAACAACAGTAGAAAATAAAACATTATCAATATCTCAGACTTTCCCTGCCGCTCCTCATCATGTTTTTAAGTAGGTCACATGTGGTCTCTACACAGTTTATCTCTACCAGGTTGTGAAAATGAGCCAAAACCTGTGGTTTTCCTAAGATATATTTACAGTCAGTACCTGTCTGTATGATTTATAAGCCAAGATACCATAATAATAAAGGATTATAAACAGTGGAAAGAATATTTAAGAACTTTTTCAGGTGTTGTTTGGGGGTTTTTTATGCTGGGCAAGTTTTAGAAACCTGCAAGCCTGCTTTAAGGAGAAGGAAAAAAAAAAGCTACCCAAAACACTCAAAAAATAGAAATTGTATGCACATCAAAAATCAGAACTGTGTTTTTCCCATTTGTAGCTATTCCCACATTATGGTCAAACTATGGTCAAACCCTTTCTTTTGCTAGAAGAAAACCTGCCACATTAGGCGAACTTGACAAAACATAGATGCTTTTCTGCCTCCACAGTAAAACTGTGGAAGCCAAACATCTCAGGGCATGTGACTCAAAGCATTTGCCAGGAAGTACGCTTGAAAATATCAGTGTGGAAGGGCTACTTAAGGACTGCTGACATCTAGTGCCAACACAAAAGGAGGTTTCCCCGGTGGATGTCTTTGATAGATTCCTTCGTGAGGAACAGACAGTCCATCGGCCAAAAGAGACAACGCATACTTCGACAATATTCCAGTGTGGAAATACCATGGGAAATGGTGTTACAAGATTTGCCCAGCACTGTAGTAAGGATAATATTGTTTAAGTCCTCTAACTGCATGTAAACCCTAGAACAACACGAGCTGTAGCTAGTACAATCAGAGATATAAAAATACACTGACACACACATAGGAGTACACAGTTCTGACTCTGACCAATAACTTGTGACAAACCAAGGAAGAAAGGCTGGCCAGCAGAAAAAGATTTTGACAGCCCTGTAATCAAGTTCACTACAGAGAATTCTGCCCATTATGATTATATCAAATTTAATTTACTAAGATGAACTTCAGAGGCCACACAGAGCAGCTGTATAATTCTTTACATCTGCTTGGATCTACTATCCATTTTCCAAACAAATATGAGCATGTGAGCTCTTCTAAAAACAAAACAAAAAATACAACTAATAGCTGTCATTTGCTAAGTGTAAAACGTAAGCCTAAAGGAGTTCAAACTCTTGCCACAAAGCAGAAGAATCTCCCATACCTTAGATACAGTGCTGGACACAGGCATACTTCCTACAAAACTAGGGCAACAAGGTCATCCCAGGTTAGTCTTCAGAAGGTATGCTACCTGTAAGGGGAACCACACTGAAACTGCTGCAGCATAAAAGCATGTAGGGGTATATTCAGTCCACTATAGGACAAACTCCTCTCCTTTCCAAGAAAGAAAAGAAAGAGTAAAACATTCTCATTTCCTGTTATATGTAACTGAAGTTCGTGTAGGGCCCTCTACATAAGGCTCCTGCAAACAACCCATAGAGAAGGCTAGAGTCAGAGCAAGGAAATCATCTGGAATTTTTAACCAGCTTTTAAATTTAAGGCCCAGCAGACTACTACATTTCTTGAGCAAGCTTCTTCAAAGCTGATGGAGGAACTGTAAAGCACAAAGGGAAAGAAAAGGAGACCATGAGAGTGAGATGCTTGTAAACTAGCTTAAGATCTTGTTCTTCAAATGCAGTGTTTTGCAATCACCTATCAAACAATCTAATCATGGAGGTACCCAAGCTTGCAAATTCCTAAACTGCAGGTGAGACTTAAGAACCACAGACAGGACAGTAGCCACTTCCAAATCTTTCACTCATCAACACTATGAATGGCTTTTCAAGATTTGAGGACAACAGGACAAGAAAGCTCTTTAACATACTGGTGCCAACATACAGTTTACCATGTCATTATCACATGCAATTGCTGCATTTGAAGAACAGGGGGTTTTTTCCTGGAACTTCAGAGGAAAATTTCTGTCTCTGTATCACGGCCTAGTAGATAACATAAAAATACCTTTCATAAGAGAACACCAGAGTAGTATTCCAAAAATGCATAATTCTCATGATAGACATCCACTCACTTCTCTAGTACAACAGAGGGAACCAGAAAGGAACAAGACAATCATGCATACAGAAGGAGCCGTGGAGGATTCAGATCCCAGAGAACAGTACAATGGAGCAACCAACTCATAATATTTGAAATTCCTATGCAGCTAACAAGCAGAACATATGCATGTAAATAGCATCCTGCAATATAACGTGGCAAATAAATGGCTTTAAAATGCTTAACTGAAGTTAAAGCTGATAGTATTAACTGATCCAGCTCAGGGCTCCTCAGCAGAATGGATAAAATTAAGTTATCCTGCTACAGCTCTGAGATAATGCAAATCAAGTAACCACAAAATTAAAAAAAACTGGAATAGGAATACACTGCAAAGTGTATAGATGATGCTAGGCTGAATTGAGGTTATTTACAAAGAAAAGCCCACAGTTTCTTTCTCATAAAGAGAAAGAAACATAGGCAGCTTGCTTAGAAAGCTACTGCAACTGGTTTGCTTAGGGAAGTCTATGGCCAGTTACCTGGACACAAACACAAAATTTTCCGAAGGAACTCAAGCCAGAAGAGTTCTGGGAGCTTACTATCTTTGGCCCAGGTAAAATCTTACAGCAGTTCAATGAACACAAGCATTAAATCAGAAACACCAGTGCAAAACCAAAACATCAGAGACTGTGAAACAAAGTTGCACTGAGCATGCACAGTGCATTACAATCATAGTTATGAGGTTAAATCAGTGCAGCTTCCTTTAGTGCCCTGATATTTACTCAGCGTAAGCATGGCTTAATTAAAAAAGTTTTAATAAAAGCCTGGACTTAGTCAGGTCAGTTAGTGTAGCAATATCACCAATTTGTTAAAAATAAAGCGGGTGGGTTAATGCAAAGAAAAACCTTACACTTATCAAGTAAATTGTGTGGCAACAATTTAGTTTCCCATCAGTACCAAGCCACGCTTAGATTCCGCCACTACTCAACTGAAGATAAACACAGTTGGATCTTGCCTCTTTATAAAGAGAGAATGTGTCTCTAACTACTCAGTCTCAATTATACTTCTGAGGACAAAACAGACCATAAACACACATCCCCTGACATCTTCCAGCATATGACAACACTTCAAAACAGAAAGCCAAGAAGATCTCTTCCTCCAGTGTCTACCTTCAAGAGACAAAGCACATTCTTCAGCCTATTCTATTCACACTAGAAATAGTTCAAAATATCCTCTGTCAGTACATTCAGAAAAACTATTACCCAAGGGGGTGGGGGTATTTTGTTGCTTTAAAAAAATAGAGCAGCTTTTAAAGTCTTTGATACCAAGCAATCTGAGCATGCAATTGGACATCAGTATTTAAGAGTTCATCTTACTGATCTTCAATGCTTTCACATATCCATTTGCTTCTGATACGTAGTATTTTTTGCATTTTCAATTATAACTAGCAAAGTGCAAATGAGTTCTGCCAGAAGTTTTAACTAGTCTACCTACTGAACAGAACAGGGAAAAGTAGTCTCCCAGACTTTGTTACCGCAAGTAACATTTGACAGTTAAACAGCTTTAACTTTTTAACGTTCAAATTGAGCTTGCACCGCTTGGTATTTTAAGAACAAAAAAAAAAAACCCAAACAACCCAGTACACTGAGAGACAAGCCTTAAGGTGCCTTCCCCGCCGCCAGGTCACTTGTGGAGCTGAGCTGAGCTGCCATTTCACAAAACTTTAATATACACCTTAGAGCTCAACAAGCCTCGATGTTTGCCCAAGAACTGGGCTGAGTCACTTTTGACTTAACAGCATCTCCAAACTGGGGCACGACTAAACCACGGGTGCGGAACGCCGACACTCACTCACCCACTGGCTGCTGAAGTAGTCGAGCCCCTGGCAGATGAGGTGGGCGGCCTGTGCCAGCAGCACCTGCACACCCAAGGAGCTGCCCAGGCAGTACAGCCCGTAGAGCAGCGGCCCGCCGGCGCCCAGGAGCAGCAGGAGCCGCCGCCGCCGCAGCACCTGCTCGCCCAGCGCCTCAACGCCGTAGTTGGCGAAGCAGATGGGCAGGAGGAGGGCGGCCAGCAGCACGGGGGTGCGGGAGCGGTGCAGGCGGCCGAGCCAGCGCCGCCCCAGCGCGGTCAGCGAGGTCTTGAAAGGGTGCAGGAAGGTGCCGCAGAGCACGGCCCAGAGCAGCGGCCGCAGGAACGCCTCCAGGATGAAGTACACCAGGACGGCGGCGCCGCAGCACAGCCCCGCGAACAGCAGCGCCCCAGTGTTGTAGAAGGCCTGTTTGATCGGCTTCTCCAGCCGCGGCAGCGACATCCCCGCCGCCCCGCCCGGGCCGCCCAGCGACAGCCGCGGCATGGCCGCACCCGCGCCCTCCGTGCCCGGGGACCCGTCCGACCGCCGCTCCTGCATCGGCGAGGCCGGAGGGGCCGCGCCGGGACCCGCGTCGGGACTCGCGGCCGGAGCCTCGGCCGGAGCCGGCGGGGGCTGTGCTGTGCTGTCAGCCATGGCACAGCGCGGGGACGGGCACCGCCGCCGCTCCGGCCCCGCTGCCAGCGGGCGACGCGCAGCTGCCGCGGCGGCGGGCGAGGGCTTGGAGCGGGGCCGGGGCTGCCGGGGCTGAGGTGGCGGAGAGACGGCCGCGGCTGAGGTGCCGCCGCCGAGCGGCTCCGGGCACGGCGCGGGCGTGCACCCAGCCCGGCGGGAAAGGGGCGGTGCCGGCCGGGAAGGGTGCTGGGAAACGTAGTTCCGCTGCGGGAGAGCTCGGTGCCGGCCGGGAAGGGTGCTGGGAAACGTAGTTCCGCTGCGGGAGAGCTGGCGGCCGCGCTCCCTTCCCTCGGCGGCGGGACATGAGGGGCTGTCCTGGGGGCCCTTATCCCGCCGAGCGCGGGCCGGGGCTTCCCAGCGCCTTCCTGATGTTTGCTAAAGAAGGCGGCCAAGCGCGGGAGCGTGGAATTGCCCAGCAGCTTGCTGCATATCTTCATCCCCATCCCAGAAGTGCAGCCCTGTCGCTGCTGCTTCTTAAAACACTTTCCTATCCCTACTGCTGCTCTAGTCTCGGGGAGTAGAAAATTCGGAGCTTTGGAGTGTCATTCAGAGCTTTGGAGTGTCAGTTGGAGAGCAAGACCGGTTAGACTATCTGGAGAATTCTGTCTTGTCTGAACATGTTCTGGCACCAAATCATTTAACAAGGAAGCATCTGTGCTTTCACTGGGAATCAGGCCCACTGAAAAGGTAGTTGTTCTGTTTTTTTAGATCTGACATTTGTGATATTTGGCTGCATCAAGTGCTATTTGCAAATAATCTAGTGAGGAACTAATTTCCTGCAGCTGGCATACACCAGATCTCTGAGTCCAGGCATAATAGCGACAGCTAACATTTTACAGGTGGTCTAAATGCCTCTCTAATAAATACACTTGGTCTGAGCAACTTTTGCATGGGTTGAAATCTGTGATACTTGAACTAGCTCAGTGCTGGCACTGTGCTACTCAAACAGTTTTCCCTTTACAGCTTAATGCAACCCTTCAGCAGGTACTAAAGCTATTGTTAATGCTGCCATAAAACCCTCAGAGGGATCTTCCTCTTTCTTTTAAATGAGAGGCAGTGTCTACAACATAGTACTAAGGTCACATACCTCTGAACATGTAAAAAGTCCACACAGGAATTTGTTTTTTCTTTCATTTTTATACTTTCGGGGATTTACATGTATGTTTAACCTTATGTAATTAATGTTAGATCAGAGTCCGCCAGGACTTTGATGAAGCATTTCTTGCATAATGGATATGTTCTAAAGCTAACATTACCCTGAACGCAACTGTCTTTAACTTAGAAAGTGGGAATACATCTATTCCTACCCAAGCTTTTTAATGCAGAGCAATACAAAGACAACAGGAAAGGTAGAGGGTTTTCCACATGCTTCTTGTAACTCTGTTGCATCCAGAAGCCCTAGGTGGAACTGGGTCCAGCTGGTTTCCCAGAGCTTTCGCACTGCAGTCCTGGCTTGTCCGTGCTGCAAATCCTTTCCTGCCAGTTACACAGAAGTTCATGCTTGTAAAGGTTCCTCTTAGCTCCTGCAGCTACTTGTTTTCCTTTGCTGAACAGATCACAAGTAGATTCAACAAAGTGCTTTAATTTTATGTATTTATAAACCTACAGGCACTTCGTTTGATCCTGATGGTGATGAGGCATTACAAGCAGTTGTCCGTATGAGAAGCTTTTATTGAACCTTAAACTGATACCATCACTCTCTGCTCTTTGATCAGATAGATCTGCCTCCTGGCAGGGTGCTGAAATAGATATCAAGCACGCATCACTACCTGAACATTTTCTCTCTAGTTCAGAACCATGCCAAACTCAAATGGCTCATTACAATACATTTTATTGCATTAAAGTTCAATTAGCAACTGTCAATTAAGATTTACGCAGGGGATAGCAGAGAGTTGAAATCCTTCTGTTAGCTAAAGAGATGCCATCAAACCAAATCTTCATAGGCACATCCTTATTCCTTTGATTTTTCTTAACAGACTTGGGTAGCCATGTTCTTCAGGAAGAAAAATTAATGTCACCTCTTTGACTTGAGTGAAGCTATAAATATTGATTTACATAAGCCGTGGATTTGGTCCCTACTGTATAAAACCTTTCTCTTCCAATTATAGTGTTTCACTATCCTTTATAAACAACTAAACCTATCATAAAGGGGAAAAAAAAAACAAAAAACAAAAAACCAAACAACAATGCAATAAAATAAAGATTTCTAATTCATGTATTACCACCACATGAATACTTCAGAACAGGGACATGACCATAAACATCAGAAAAAAATCTCTGAAGTGACAGCTGAGGGAGGATGCGTGATCTTCAATCTTCACAAGACACACCCCAGCCTCTAAAACTTAATTTCACAACAGATTTCAAACAGCAACTGCAGCCTTAACAGCTGGGTTTTGTCTAAGATTTGAAACAGTAAGAGATTTTAGATTAGATGCCCATTTAGGTATAAATTGCACTGATACATTGTGGTTCAGGCATTTTTATGGTCGTAGATAAGTAGCACACCTCAGGCTCCTATACTACCAGAAATTCTCCAACAGTCTCTTCAGTTGTATTTTTGCTATTAGCGATTCTTCAGAGGTGAAGAGGGCAGCAAAGGAATGCTTTTGCGCCAGTGCAGAAAAGATGTATGCACCTTAAAGTACACATGTGGTAAGTATTGACAGTCTTTGGCGCTCTCCTATGTGGAGGGAAGTATAAAATGAGGTATTAGTAAGAGATAAACTCGTAACTTCTGTCTGCTTCTGCACTAGCAGCCATGATTTTGTGCAGTGAAGCCTTTTGAGTCCCCTTCAAGAGACTACAGACACCCCTAGCTCTTTATTCACTTGATGTTCAGTCAACACAGACCACAAGCTGTCTTACACACGATACCAAAATACTGGGTGCCGAGGTGGCCATGAAGCAGAGGAGATAGACAGTGGTGGCAACAGCAAGTTAATCACTGTTTACATCCAAAATGATCACATGAAGCTATGAAATAACTCAGAAATGAAGCCACAAGGTGTCAGCACTGGCCTGCGTGTTTAGAAAACAACTTTATCCTGCTTGAGAGATTTTGTTTTAACCTGCGTTACTGAACATTTGTGAAATGTTAACCTCAGTTGAGGTTAATCTCACTTCATTAATTCACCTCAGTTTAATGACAACGTTATACCATCTTCAGATCAATGAAAAATACTCAGTAGAAACTACTACAGTTTTGATAGTAGCAGAACAAAAGAAAAAAATTTTAAAGTTAATGATTAAGATAACTTTGTATCTTTATGTCTGCGAATCTTGGTAAGTATAAGAGGGGAATGAAATGCATGGTTGTAAGGCATAGCAGTCAACTGCATGTACACAAAAATGTTTAATCAGTGGAAAAAGCATGCAAATAGCACGAGTAAGACCTGTGGACCCAGAGCACTATCTTTCAGGTTAGCCCATGTGATCGCTGTGTGCACGGAACAAGAACTGGATATATAGAGATCTGAATAACAGAAGAATGTTTTGGATTCATTGGGTTTGTGACAAAATGCCTTACTGATCCATCAATGGTTACATACCACAAGATAAACAGAACATAATTTAAGACCCTCTACTGGGTATATTTAAGGCCTCTATTGACCATGATTGCTTGGACAGTGCAAGTAGGTGACACTCACGAGATCCATCCTTTCTTGCACCCTGCAACTACAGGGTAGCAATGCTACAAACACAACAAACAGACCACACAGTGTAAAAGCAATACATTTCTTGTTGCCCTGAGCCAACTTGTCTTCTCAGCCCACCAGAAAGGAGTTAAAATACCTGTTCAAACCTGAGAGATCTCAGAAATCGAAGCATCCCTGTTTGAGAGACTTCTACAGCTGCTTTTGCTTGCTGAGTATGATGGGACTTCCTCCTCTCTGTTGCTAATCTCTAATATAATTTAATTTTCTTCTTGGTCTGCAAAAACCTGTTCTGACTGCTTCAGGACCTACTCTGTCTGGCCAAGGAATAGGGCAGTGATGACAGCAGATAAAGAACACCCAAATTTGTAATATTGCAACTTGATCATATTTGTATCAAAAAGGTTACAAAAACACAGCATAGAGGTCACCACAGGAAACTCTACATTCTATATACTTACAGTAAGTTAATACTTTGTTAAAGTACAGATGATTACATTTATTTACAGCTTCACTGTGATTCTCATGGTGGAAAAAAAAAAAGTAGTCTTCTCACATCTGTTATTTGCTACTGTGACAAGCCTCACTGACTTAAATGGAATTACTCAGGCTAATAAATTCAAGCCCATGGCACAGGAAGGAATTGTTAACACAGGGCAGCAGCAGAGACTTCTTTAACCTCAGAGACTTTTCCCCCCTCCTTTTATAAATGTCATACCACACATTTTCTTAGACTAAAAAGGCATTTATTATAACAGTTTTATAAATATTTTTGTCTGTCACTGTCAAACAGCTAACAAGGCTCACTTGAACACCAACATTTAGTATAAAACAGATGTTACAAAGCAATACTTTAGGGCATGCACTGATTGTAAAGTAGTCCCGTAGATCACAGTAATTTCATTACGTATTCATCCAGTGTTATTTTTTCTGAAAGGACTAGAGCATAAATGCAAAGAAGTTTGGCAATTTCTTCTGAACTACAAAACCTCCATTCTGCGCTCCTACCCAACCAAATGCTCAGTGACTTCACACGGGTGGCGGTTATTGGCATACAGAATGGTGCCTAGCACAGAGTGCAGAACACCACTTTAGACTACAATTACAAGTTGCTTATTTGTACGTTTTATCTTTATACTGGTCTTGAGAATGCTGAACAAAGTCGAAAGGTAGAAATAGCATTTCAGGTTCAATCATTACACTTCATGTCATACAAAAGAAGTGGCAAGAGTTCACACAATTACGACAGCCTGCTTACTTGCAGAGAGGTTAAAGCAAATCAGACCTCAGGATATATAAATCAGAAATACCAAGGCATACCAGGCATCTGTTTTAACCTAAACAGAACTCATGATACTTCAAATATGCTAATAAAATATCTCTGCCTAAATAAAGGCTGGGAACATCACACACAAATGTCAGGGTCCCACCATTTCATTTTTCTAATGAGTTAATAGTTTTGGAATTTCATCTTTGACTCTCTGTGTCAAGACGTGAATGATACTTCTAGCTTTAAAAAAAAAAAATCTATTGTGGTAGTTTTTTCTATTTCAATGTTTATCCCTTGTTTCATGTCACCAACTGTGAAAAATTGAAAAAGAAATCATTGCTTTATATGTAAGCAGTTAAGTATTTCAGAAGCAGATATCATATTCTGTAGTTAAATAACAAGAATTTTTCCTCTTAGGTTTAACTATGGCATATGTACTTCCTTTCCTATTATACTAATATTCCGTATGACAATATTCTCATGACTTACTGAACATCCTTGTTTCATCTTGTTTGGGAAAAAAAAGTGAAAATAATACTGCAATAAGACCAATGTAAGGCTAATTTTTGTACTGAAGAAAGTGAAGGAAGGTTAGTATACAAGAACTGCAAACATAATACCCACACAAGTAACATATCAGGTTTATAAATATTTTTCTGGATCATTCTGCCTCTCCAAAATCAACTAGGAGTCAGGGAACATGTAGGATTCTGTGTTTTGTCTTGTCTCCAGAGCAGAATCTAGCCTTTTGTTTTTAGACTTTCTTGTATAATTTTCAGACTTTACACACACACACACACACACACACACACACACAAATACCTTCAGCAAAATCACATTGCCTAAATATTAATTCTGTGAAAAATATTTTTCATTAATCTAAACCTTGCAAATCACTGTTATGAAAAATCAGCAGGAATATTTTTATTCCTTGGCACACAACCTAAGTGAATTATTTAGTCTCCTACCAACACCATCTTATGAAATTGAACTGAATTATGTAAAAACTAAGAGAGCGATGTGAAACTAAATTAGGCAACACATTGCAATCACTAGTTACCATAAAATGTTCACTGCCCTGAGTAAGCATTGGAGCCATAAAAGATTTGCAGCTGCTCAGCACTTTTGAAAAATCCAATTACTTCTTTAAAAATGTAAATATGAATTTGAGTAAGCATAATTTAGAAACAGCTCAGAAAAGTACTGGTAATTCTGTATGTCCCAGTCTATAAAGAGCACAACACCTTTACAGAAAATTTCTTAAGAACGACACATAAAAGTTCACCTTGTAAAGACATTCCTAAATAGCCTCTAATTGTAGATCAGGATGAGCCTATATGGAGCAGCAACTGTTCTAAGATAGGGGCTGTGAAGTCCTGCACGTATTCCAACCTCACACTGGTCTGAAAGAACATTTCTACTGATAAGAAACACAGAAAGAGGGTGAAAGCAAGAGTTGTGGATGCCTATGAAACTGTTGTCAGAGGAAGTTCACACGGGACATTAGGAAAAACTTCTTCTTTGAGAGGATGTCTGGTGACTGAATGGGCACCAAGCCTGTCAGAGTTCAAGGAGCATCTAGATGATGCTCTTAAACATATGATTTAGTTTTAGGCAACCCTGTGAAGAGCAAGGAGTTGGACTCTAAGATCCTTATGGGTCCCTTCCAACTTGAGATATAGAATGAGTCTATGAGTGCAATTCAAATTACTTAGCTATCCAAGGAAAAAATAAATCTGCCCCTTTTCTTACAGCAGATTCATTGCTATTGCTAAGTCATAACACAGATTTTCAAAGCAAGTCATATCTTTTAAGTCTGCATTTTCACACCTATCAACTCCACAAGCTGTACACATCCTCCTCGACATTTCAAAATTACACTGCTTTTGCCTCACTATCTGAGCCCAAATTAGACAAGTTAAATAACCAGGTTCAAGCATACATAATTTTACCAAACCCACTGTGAAAACAAAAAAAAAGGGAAGGTACCAAAGTGATTATTTCATACTAATAAGAGAGCTTTAGAAAAGCAAGGCTTACCTTATCTTACTCTGTACCTTGACATAAAAATTACATAGAAATAACTAGATATGAACAAAAATGTTCATAGGAAATTGAGATTTTTTTTTAAAACCTTCCAGTTAGATCCATATCTGTCCTGGGCAGGTTGATGAAGAGCTATCCTAACACACTGCTACAGAAATACTAATAATGAAATTTTAATTAGAGGAACTAGATAATGTACAGTGAAAGCTGTTAAGAAAATATTTAGACCCCCCATCTTTTGATATTTACACTGCGGCAAGCACGGAGTACCTGCTCACTGGCCATTTTACAAACTGAGCAGGTACTCCCCACTGCAGCCGACTGCCACGACTGCCTATGGGGTCTTGACAGGTTTTTACATCTCTGAAGGCAGAATCAAGCCTCTAGCTCTTACCTTGGAGGTTGGTGGGAGTAGACGTCTTGTGATACAGTCTGACCTGATGCCCACATCAGCCCTTACACTGCTTGGACCCGCATAGAAGCTAAATACTCACTGAAGTCAGACTCTGTTCCTTCTCATCACATAAAGTAATATTTGCTTGTGATAAAGAGTTCCAGACAGACTCTGCCACATGTAAACTCATACAAAAATAGAAAGTATGCCAAAACCATTAGCCCTTCCTTGTCATTCGCCCTTGCTCCCAGTCTCTCCACTCTTCTGTTCCAAACTATTTGATGTCACCACTGCCTCTGCAGCATTCAAGCAAACTGCTGTGGCAGTTTCATTACAAGCTGTGGAGTCAGGGTTGAAATGGATCATGCCAATTCATGTAAGTTATGCACATCCACAGCTCCATGAAGCACTGAAACACAGTAATATTTAAATGTGTTTCTGATTCTATATAAATCTAAGGCTCAACACAAAGTCATACTTTGTATAAAATACTAACACTCACAATAGTTACCTCTGAAAAAAAGTGATATTAGACCTTTTGTAATTCTCTGAAATACACATTTCCTTCTTCTAAAGCTCTTACCAAATACTTTTCTTGGGGAAACTATTTGGAGTTGTTAAAAACAGTGTGGGGAGCAAGTACATCTGCTGCACAGCAGTGTTGCAAACCAATGAAACCACAGAATCACAAAATGCAATTTAAATGCTAATAAAAGGTTTGCAATTTGCATATAAACTTGAATTTTGCCTCTGGAGTATCGCAGGGTGCAAACTTCCATTGGACCCAAATAAGCCCTGAAAGAGCAGACAGAGGACCTGTTCTCTAAAACAAGAATGATTTTCTTCTTTGTAAATGTCTGATGCATTGGAGGCATGAGAAAGTAGGAGAAGATCAAATAAAACAGGGAGACCTGCATCTTCCCTTAAACTTATAGCAGTCATTTACTTACAAATAACTGAGTGTCATCAATGACACAGATGTATAATTGTGACCGGGAAAATCATGAAGACAGATGTGTTCCAGTCCTCCTTTATCTACTAACTTCTCTTTACAGCCTGGAAGGCTGCTCTAAGGTGTCCCCAGAGTCTTCTCATCTCCAGGTTGAACAACCCCAACTCTCTCAGCCCGTCTTCATAGGAGAGGTGTTCCAGTCCTAACATCACCTTAGTGGCCCTCCTCTAGACTCATTCCAACAGGTCCACATCCTTCTTGTGTTGGGGGCCCCAGAGCTGGATGCAGTACTCCAGGTGGAGTATCATGAGAGCAGAGTAGAGGGGCAAAATCACGTCCTTTGACCTGCTGCTCACATTTCTTATGATGCAGCCCAGGATACAGTCGGCTTTCTGGATTGCCAGATCATGTTCAGCTTCTTGTCAACAAGAAGATATGCATATTTAAGAGATTTGGTGCAGGATGGGTCATGCTGTTTGTTATTTTCATTTTGTAGTAGATATTTAGTATATGAAGGCTCTTCTTTTTGGTTCAGACCCAGGATATGGTGCCCTAAGTGAGTTTCAATACTGCTGATGTACACCACGCTTTCATCCCTGTGCTGAAGACCGGGAAAGCCAGTGCCCAACACAGCTTTGAAAATATTTAACCCAATCTGGGCATTTCCTCAGGTTAGGGAGGCCACAAGTCTTTATTTTGCTGCTATCCAAGTATTGCAAAACCAATCAAAAAGGACAAGAATGTCACAGAGGGATTTCAAACATTTGTCATCAATATCTTGTTATCTTTCAAAACCAGGGTATTTCCCTTAAATTTTGAATTTTGAAGATAGCATCACCCTGCATCCAATAACATCATCAAATCAGGTAGGCTTTTTCTTTATTTTGAGGGGGGAAAAATCAACTAGCAATTCACCTATGCCAAAAAATATACATACTTATTTAACTCCAGCAAAGAAAAAAATTACTTTCTGAAAGTCTATCCGCTCCACTCATTTTTCTCTCTTCTATCCTACTTATTACTAAAGTAATTTCAGGCCTAGCTTATAACTTATAACAGGGGACCAGTCAGATACTACAGTCAAAAAACAAGGTCCTTTTGCAATAGGCACTGTCATTGATTTCTCTTCCAACTAATCTAGAAACTTTTAGTATAAAACATTCTATATAAGATGGACAGAGAGAGAAGAGGGTGATAATACGGTTAACGTAACATGCAATGGTCACAACTGAATTTTGTTCTGCATGGAAAGAACATATTCAAGGACATTAATTAATGCCATATGGTCTTTACCAGTCCTATCTTTCTAATTATTAATCATAGTTAAATCTCAAAAGGACACACCATACTCTAAACATGCCATTTCTAAACTCAATGCCTCTGTATTAGGTCACTGTGCAAGTAATTCTCAAAGCACTTTAGAAATGTATTCTTTAACAGTTGTTTACTAGTAGTCACACTAAAGAAAGTAAAAATTATTTGGAGAAGGAAACATTTGCCTCCTTTTCCAAAGCAGGCCCTTTCTTCCCGTTTTGTGTTGGTATCCATTAATTAGAAAAAAAATTAAAAAAACCTACTTGAAATGCCGTGATCACTTAAAAATTTCTTTGAAGACCATCGCTTTGGTTAACAGGAATCAATCCTGCTTTTCAAAATTAAAAAGAAAAAAGACAAAGCAAAAAATACAAAAACCCCTCAAAAAACCAAAATACCTTCCATGACAAGTTACTATGCCCACTCAAATGTCACTGACCTAAAGACTTTCCATTTCTCTTATGCCCTTTTTCTTCTCAGATTTCATCCCAAATAGTAAGTTCTAAACATTCAAGCCTTCTTTGTTTGTCAACCTGAATTTCATATTCCTGATTTTCCTGCTCTGAAGGGCAACTCTCGGACAAACTCAGGGCCAAACTGAACCATCAGCTGAAATGCCAAATAACAGATTGTTTTGCTGCTTGCTGTGGCCTTTTATTTCCTCCCTTTTGATTAGAAATACTTTATTAGGCTAATTAAGTACTTTTAAGCTTGGGTGAAAGTTTGTATAGAAGAGCACATTTCTGCTAATACTTCAAAAAGAGATAAATACAATGACAGAAAAGAGAAGCCAAAATAGGTTTCTATCCTACTTCAGTACCTTTAAATTAATAAATTAGCCCTTTAGTGGGTAATCAGGTAAATGGCTGAAACTAAAGTAGTAAATACAAGGCCATAGACTAAAGCCTCAGGCTCTGAGAAAGAACTGCAGTATCTCACCTGCCTACAAATCAGCACCATGGAGAAAGAACTTTCCCTAATGATTTCTTCACTTCACCTGGTTGCTGAACGTAAAGCTCATTCTCCAGGCTTTGGCTTATCTGCTCCACCCATCTCTAAGGCTAAATTATACAGCTGTTGTGGACCAAAGCAGTCCTTCCTCATTAGCTGGTCTCCACTGTATACTTCATCAGATGATGAGCAAGTTAACCAACTTGAGAGAAGTAATTTACACTAAAGTACATGCACTTATAAAGTTCACTCCATTCTGAATTTTCTCCCCTTCCTGAGATCTAGTCCAGTAATTTTAAGTGAACAAATCCGTAAAGACATTAATGAAAATATAAAATACTAACTGATCTTTCTTTTGAAATAGGGATAAAGTGTTTGTCATGAAGATAAATTAATTTTCAATCTAATTCACATACCTTAAGCATAGGTTTGAAGAATTCTGAGCCTAAAAAATAAGTTTACAAACATCAGCCTGTGAAGAATGCTGCAAACCCAGCAAAGCTAATTAATCATCTTATACTCTATGCAGTAATAAGAATAGAAAGGAGTTCCATCACATACTTTACCAGATGCTGTGTTACAGAGTCCTCAAGTGTACCCCATTAGATAAAACTTTGGCACTATTTAGATTTTAATTCTATTTATATAGAATTTTAATGTGAGTTGGAAAGTGAATGCTTAACCTTTTCTGAGCACATTTGACTGCTGCATGTAGACATGTGTCATACACCTCCTGTTATGTGAAGAACAGAAATTCTCCACTCAAAGTTCTGTGGATTATAAATGCATTTTGACACTTTCCATTTGTGTAATACTTAACATTCATCTTGGAATATTTATTGATGATAAAAAAATCTAATGTATTTTCTCTTTAGCTCATCTTTTTCCACTATATTTTAACTATATTTTAGCCATGGTTTGATGAACTAAAGATATTGCTCTTCTTATTAACCCCTGTCTTTCCTTAGAAATAATCTCCATTACATTTCTATTCCTTTGTAAGTTAACACCAGTTGACCATAGTCACCTTTAACATGAACAGGATATAGAGGCATACAACACAGAAAACCAGATTACTTCATATTACTGCACAACTACTTAAAAATGTATTTACATGTCAGCAAAATTACTGTTTTTTCATAAAAAGAGAAAAATTGATCTAGTCTATTGGGAGGACAACCTATGGCTTGTTGGGAACTTCTATATTCTGCATGTTTTACACCTGGTTTTCCTATGCATGGAGAATTTATATTGCTGTATTCTCCCTTCCCCTTGTTTAAATTACTTTATATCTCACTCTTAAAAGAAGTAGCCATTTCTTTCAAAAAGGCTGTTGAAACACAATAAAGATGTTCATCGCCCCTTTCTCATTGAAAAAAAAAATCATGCTGATGCTTGAACATTTAAGTTTAGTTTTAGAAAGTACCACAGCCAGTAATCTTTGATAAATATAAAACAAACAAAAAAAAAAATTGGGAGAACTGTCCACTACTGAGGGCAGCTTTTATATTTCTGTGTTGCTATCCAGATCATAAAATTCAAAACTGCACTTGGAGTTGTGCTCTCTGCTCCAGAAGTACCAAGCGGCATTACAATGTTTTCCTAAATTTGCTTTTTTGAAGCAATTTGGAAGGCAATTTTGTTATTTGATAAGATGTTCATCACTAAATTCACCTAAACACACATACAGGCACCCCTCCCAAACACACATACACACACATACACACTGATTTTACAAAAGTGTCATTTTCTTTAAGCAAGTAATCACAACACTGAAAATATTCTCCTATGTGTTTGCTGATTATTCTTAAATGATTTGTCACCACTCTGCCACTCAAAAGAGATGGTTATTTCATTCTTCTGAGAAGCTAACTATGTTCAAAAGCAGCTAGGTGAGGATGGTGGTGTGATATAAATTCCAATAGAAAAATGCATCATCCATCCATATAGCCGTCCATCCTGAGAAACTTCCACCAACAGATTCTTGCTATTTTCCATTGGTCATGGGGTTCCCATCAATAAATAGAAGGTCAGTGCAACAATGAGGAGCAAGCAGAATGGAGAGGAGAAGGTCTGATAGGCAGCTGATGGCATGAAAATATCTTCATATTTGTAAATACTGACAACACGTTCTGATACAGGTGGTGAGTCTATATCATGACGAGTAATAGAACCTTTAAGAGGTAAGGGCAGAAAGAAATAATGTCAGATGCATTTTTTTCTATAACTCTACTAAAGATACAGGTAGACAGCCAGGTAATTTTCAAAACTTACAGGAGCATGCAATATTACACTGTCAGGGAGTAGTACCATTTCTCTGCTTTCTGAAATTAAAATTCTAAATAAAACAAACGAAATGCAAGTAAACAACAAACATCCTTCAGAGGAATTGAGAACTTCTAGTTATGAAGTTCTTTTATATTTAGCTTTGGGGAGGGAGGATAATAACTATATAGCCAAGAAAGCACGACATGTGTTGGACTCTTGTCTTCCTTTTTATCTATTTTTAAGCTTTATGCTGCCAGAATTTTAGTTCATTTGAAAAAAAAAAAAAAGAGGAGGAGGGGGTCTAGTAAGAATAATGTAATTGAAAGACATTTATCAGTTTTGGCACATCAGTTCTGTTTGTAACACAGAAATCAACTTACCTTGGATTGCTGGACCCCAAGCAAACAGATAGTACCAACTCAAGTGCAGATCTACGATGGTTTCCTCTCGGGGAACATATACAGGACGCTTGAATCGACATGTTACACGATTGTTTTCAAAAACCCCTTCCTCATCTCTAGCAGGATTTCTCTGGATTTCTTTAGCCCACTGACCGACATTATAGAAGTGCTGTATTCGGACTCTTCCGTTATCATCATGAACACAAGCCATGACATCATCTCCTCCCTACAAGGTACAAACAAATGGGAAGATGGAAACCAGAAGTGTCATAAAGCATTTCCTCATTTATGTATATAATTTTAATTATTCAGAACTAATCAAGACCTAGGACTCTCCTTTCTTCTTTCTAAATTATATATACACAAATATTTATTTCCCTAACAAGGTGTCGTGAATCCAATTGAAAAGCACATAAATTGATAGTAATATTTACTTACCCTTACTATCTCTTTTGGATCTTTCTAAGAGTTATTTTACCTTACATATATAATGTATTTGTAAGACATGATATCACCTTGACATCACATAATTAATTGATCTGTGGAAGGCTGTTTTCTTTGGTTATTTGTGAAGTTCTGGGATTCTGCTTCATAAAAACCAGCAGTCTTGAATCCCTGCTGTGTACAAAATCCACTGCACTAAATCATGGATAGGAAACCAATATGATTTAGTAGGATAGAGGAGATGAATCTACTAATTATGGGAAAGTAATAGCATAAATTACAGTAAGTCTTTTCTAATCTCTTCTCACGTTCACTTAAGGGAACATCACTTCTCGTATCTCTTTTATCTCTTAAAATTAAAAACGTTCAACATGTAATAACAGAATACAGTATACCATAAGACACAAGAAAAAATGTAATCAAATGTGCTTCTTCACTTAGCTTAAACAGCCACCAAAGTTGGTTCTTCTCAAGCAAAGAACCAACAGACAGAAGGAAGTGTGAGACAATTATTTGTAGAGGTTATTCGTAGACATACTAAAGCAGTTGCTAGGAGCGTTACTCAAGGTCACTGACAAAGTAGTAGAGCACCATATCACTCAGGGATGAGCATTAACTTCAGGAGTACTGTCTCACAGAAGCCTTAGCATCAAGAACCATCAAAAACACTGTCCAAGCTGGATGAGTGGCATTTTACTGAACACCACTGTATAGCCATCAATGCCATACTAAATACAAGCCCTACTCCTCCCACACTCATCTTTCTGATATGCCATACCGATGATAGACATGGTGCTTGCTACTGTGATCATCCCTCAGCTCTTTGTCATAGGAGAAGGAGAGAAAAAGAGTGCATTTCAGCACTCTGGGAATATTCATTGTAAAAGATATGCCAAAATTGAAGGGAAAAAGGGGACAACTAGGTAAAACACGCTTGAACATTTTCCGCACCTTGCTGCTCCTGCAGGCAACCTTTTTGGCCTCTGTCTTGAGACTATCATTGCTTTCCATAACTTATTTTCCAAGTTTAATTTTCATACATCTGAGCAAAAATTCCTCATTCTTAAGTACAAAGAAGAAAAATAAATCTGTTTTCACACAGAAGAAAAAAAACTAAAAAGAAAAGAAAAAAGCACTCTGAATCTCAGTTAACAGAATGACATTACAGAATCCTTCCAAGGCACAAAAGCCTGCAAGTGGAAAAGCATAATGTTATTTGAGACAAAGAAATAGGTCACAGGACTTTAAAAAAATCTATTGAGGACACAAAATAGGTTTTTTTTTCCACTAAACTTCTGTAGCTATCCAGGCCACACCATTTTGATTAGGGCCTCCAAAGCACAGCCCATTTCTCACAGCAAAGCTGTTTTGACTCAGAGCCATTTTACCATCAAAGCCTGTGCATCCCAGGACACCAAAATACCCTGGAAGTTATGAAAAAGGATGAAGTCAGCAGGGGAACAAGAGAGAAAGAGAGATGCTAGCTGGTTTAGTCCAGCTGACTGATGGGCATTAGATGATGTATGCAGCAAATTTGGAAGCAAAAATTTTTCTTTTATATTTACTTAATTCTTCTTACCAGAAGCTGACTTAACATGCTGCTTGGTATGCCTGGGTCAAAAGGCAACACGTGTTTTCCAAGTGTCTGATGACATGAAGGCAAGTGGGACCCTGGGATCTACTGCAGGTACATCAGAGTTACAAACTGGTAACACAATCTCTGATAGCTTGGGGACAAATATTTAAAGGTGCTGAGCTGTTTTGGAAATCCTGTTGAGAGCTTGCATTGCCATCCACCTAAACTCTTCCCAAAATTTAGCTGTAAAACTCTTCTTTACAACATCAAAACCACAAACTCTTTCTTGTGATGTGAACTGTTCCTTATGACATAAAAAGCTTTTATTTTCATTGTGTTTATTTACAGCATCATATTAAAACATTTACAGTAATGAGTGAAAAGCCCCTGCCCTCACACTTTCTTTGTATTTCTCATGTTGAGTCTGATAAAAATGCTGTTAAGTCAGTGCAAGTCTTCCCATTCATATTTGTGGGTGCTAGCCCAGGACATCTAAATCCTGTATTTTTTCAGACTACTATTTTCAACATTACAAGAAACAGTCCTTTCCTTTAATTTGTGGTTTAGGACATGGGGTCAGTATTGTTCTATATACCCATAAATGTTTCTGTACATGAACACCTGCATTATGAACTGCATTTTAATCCTAAACATTTTACCAAGGATCACAGACAAAATATCTTTGCATAAGTTGCCCATTGCTCAGGTTTTCTAAAGTTCATACAGTACATGCTTCTATTTTGCTCATTGAAACTCAATGAAAAGTGAAGCTTTAGAATGAAAAAGTAAGTACAGAAATAATCATAAAATCAAACCTAATAAAATCCGGAAGACAGAGAATAAATTTTAACAAGATTGTTTTCTAGAGTATATATGTTTAAATTAGCAGGAGTCATCTTTGTCACACATTTGTAGCTTCCCTGAAACAACACATAGGTATGAAAGAAACAAAAAAATTTCCAAAGTTAAACAGTGAAAGATATATTTACATCGCTCAAAGTCAGCTGATTTACAGAAGAATAAAATTATTTCCTATCTAGTTTATGATGTGTCTTTTGTCCAAGTTACACTGACATAAAGCTTGGCAGGACATTTCCATTTGAATTGGCTTATGCCTGAGGGCTTTTCTAACAAAAAGACAAAAAGCTAATAACATTCAGCCATTCAGAGCTGAACTGAAATACTGTTGTAGTTCTCAGAAAAGAAGGGAAAGGAGATGTTAACAAAGACGAAGCAGTTTTCTGTGAGGTAGTAGGCCTGGCTTCTGCTCCCGGGGGGCTACTTGTTTTCAGCAAGTCAGTTTTTCCTTATATGCTCTGTTTCTGACCAACTAAACATATAAATACATATAAATACACTTCTAGCATGTAAAAGTGTGCACATTGTCAACATGAAGAACTGCACGTCTTACCATTTTCTTGTCTGAGGAGAATCCCACTGCCACCCAGCCATCAGTATCAGCACTCAACTCAAATTCAACATCAGCTCCTATTCTGCGGTAACTTAGAAAGTAGTCACAAGTCTCTGCATTGCATCCAGGTTTACCATACCTAAATGGAATTGAAAATATACATAATTTTTCCTTGAAATTTGCCGCTATGGAACTTAATTGCATTTCTGCAAGAAAAAACTAAAAGAATGCATTCTAGTATAATGATGGTAAAACACATTATATAATCTGCTATACATAGGGTACCATTAATTAAGAGTTTGCAATTACTGCTCTTTTAGTATAAGAAGGTATAGTATTTAAACAGTATGGCAAACAGTTACACACAGTATTACTCTGTCGACCTTACTTCCTCTGGTTTTGTAAGTGCTCCATGAAAATATGAATTGTGAAAGAACTGTAGGTCCACAACTAAGACATATATCCTAGTGTCCTCAAATAATATAGTTCATACTACAAAATATGTTCTTAAATAATAAACATTTATTAAAATGACTACAGAACATTAACCAGTCTCCAATATCATCAGTCAGCATTTTTAAACATCAAGTTATCTGCACTCTTATCTCAGACTGACCTGAAGCATCCCTTGGTTTTTCCACAGTCGTCCACTCTGATTTTTGCAAATGGATCCACGGGAGGAGCAGTAGGGAAAGGGTAACCTGTATAATCAAAATAAATCATTACTTAATAAAATACAAGGAATAAAAAGCAGTAATACTAAAGAGAAAGTGTTCCAATAGCATTTACTTTGCTGATAACTGTGCTGTTCAGATGACAGACTATTTTGTCACATACACAATCCATTGCTCAGATGTCCTGGATCCAGGTACCAAAGCAACACAAATAACTGAAAACAAAACTTTCCTACCTTCGTCAAGTAGGGAGAAGAATGCCAGAGGCTAAAAGTTAATGTAAGGCAGCAGGACCATGGACAAGTGCAATCAACTAACAATTCGGGATCTCCACTCAGCTATCTCTTTGTGCACTCTTTGTCCCCTCAGGAAATCCGTGAGGGAACTAAATGTGATTCCTTAGCCACAAATGACAGCATGAAGTATAAATGCAGGCAGGGCACGAGACGCAGTGCTGTAGGAATGGATACCTTATAATAAGGAAAGGACCTTATAGTATGTCTTCCACTAAGAAGTAAAATAAAACACACATTGCAGTAAAAGGCAAGAGAGTATCAAGACAGGGAATTGCCTGCAGTTATGGCCTGCAATCACTTGTGAAGGCAGACCCAAAAGAGCTGGACAATGAGAGTTATGATTCCAAGCAATTCCCTTTCTGCTGCACAATAATATACCAAAGAGAAAGTGAGAACGTTTGTGAACAGACTTATTCTGTCTTTGCTTGTAGACGTTGGTGTCTGTTGCATAAGCACAGATATTTTTAATAGGATGTTCTTTTACTTAGCCAGCTGAAAAATGAAGTGCTAACTGTGAAACTAGAAAGTCCTCTGAAAGTGCTTCACTGAATAGAAAAAGTGATTCATTGACTAGGGAATGAACACTGCAGTTAGTTACAGCATCAGTACACAAACGTTTGACCTACACAACTTTGGGTATTTGGGAGCCCTGATTTGCTTCCCTAGATTTCTGATAATGCCAATGCAAAGTGTGCTGTAAGCTGCAAATCACAGCTCCATTAACTGTATCAGGTGCCTGGGTAAATTACCCAGCATAAATGCATTAAGTTTGCAGAATTTCAGAGCAGCCTGTAGCAGAGTATCACTGACAGACAGGTCACAGGACATGCAATTTTCTCACTCCTTCGTTATTTTCAAATCCATTGAACACACGGGTTTCAATGCATCCTAGACACGAAACTGGAGTTTTAACACTCCGCCATTTGTAAATTCAAAAAGACATCCCGGAACCCACGACCACTCTGTTTCTTGACACTTTAGGGCATCGCACGTCCTTTCGAAGCCAACAAACCCCGGGATTCCTCTTCACGCTACCAGCCCGCAAAGCTTTGCACGAGAGGAAGGCGAGACACCGCCGGCCGGCCCCGCTCTGCGGGAAGGGGACGGACCCCGTCCCCGTCCCAGAGGGATGCCTGGGCCCGGGGCTGCCGCTGCGGGGAGCGAGGCGCCGGCCCTGCGGAGAGCGCGGCCGTCCAGCGGGACACCGGGGGCTGCCCCGGCCCCGGCCGCGGGCGGCAGCGCTGGCTGGAGGCCGCCCGGGCGGCGAAAGATGGCGGCGGGCGCTGGCCTTCGTGCTGAACAACGCCGCCGCTGCCGCCCTCTCGCCCGCCCGCCGCCACCGCCGCCCGGCCGGCGCGGTGCTCCCTCCCTGCCCCGGCCGCGCTGCCCCCTTCGCCCGCCGCGCCCCGCCCGGCCCCGCCGCCCGCCCCGGCCGCCGCCGCACCCTCCTCGGAGAGGTAGCGCAGGTCGTAGAACTCGCTGGCGAAGGTGCCGTACGAGGAGTCGTGGTGCCGCGCCGCGTCCTCGCCGTGCTCCCCGCCGCCCGCCTCCCGCCGCCCGCCTCCCTCCTCGGCCGGGCTGGCGGCGGAGCCGGCCAGGAGCAGCAGCAGCAGCAGCAGCCGCCGCCGAGCGCCGCGGCTCCGCTCCGCCATGGCGGCGGCGGCGGGGCGGGGAGGCGGTGGCGCCCGAGCGCGGCTCCGCGGGGGAGCGGGGGCGGCCGCCGGAGGGATCCAGCCCCGGGGACGGGCGGTGCCGGAGTGGTGGGTGGGCGAGGGGACGGTGTGGGAGGAAAAGGTGTCGGGGCAGCGTATGCGCGGGAATGCGCGTGGGAGCGGCGTGCGCGGGAGCGGGATGCGCCGGGAGCGGTACGCGCGGGCGGTCACAGGCACAGCCGTGGCAGCACCGAGCCCTCCCGCAGGGACCGCCGCCGAAGGGCTAGGCGGTGGCCTTCCGTGGATCACCAGGTTCCCGCACCCCACAGCCCGCCCCACCCGGCAGAGACCCCGCCGCGGGGATACCTTCTCCCACCGCCCAGGCACAGCGCTCGGGGGCAGCAACAAGCCATCCCCGGCCGTCCCCTTGGCCTCGATTCACCAAAGCCTCTCAGCCTGTGCTTCAAGAGGACGTGATAAATCCTGCTCAGTAACTGCTGAGCTCTTTTCATGTTTGTTTTTTTTTTGGTTGATTGGTTGGTTTTTCTAAATTATTTTTAATGACTTCTGAGATGGGACTGGAGGCACAGCACGACTTAACATTGATTTCAGGTAAAACCCCATGGTAGTGAGCGCTCACTGTCTGATTGCATGTTCTTGCTTTGTATTTTATACAATGGAACTGCAGCAGTACAAATATGCTTCAGACCTGGCAGGACTGAAGGAAAGCCCAAGTTGTGCCCCCAGAGTTGGCTTGGGCTCTTGTATCTGATGCTGGACTTGCAGCTAGGCATTAAAGATACAACTGCGTTCTCACTGTGCCATGGTGTCTATGGGTTGATGGAGGAACCATGACCTTTCGTACCTCATGTTTGCCAAAGTGGCTTTTTTCTTGGGTTTGGATTGGTGTCTTCTGGTTATAACTATAATTTCATTTTTATACTCTTTTGCATGGTTACACTTCCTCCTCTGAGAGTCCAGAATAAAATTGAGCAAAACATCAGGGAGGAGGGAGGGAGAAAGATGAAGACACAACGGTCGGTAATATTCTGAAAATTAAAATAACCCTCAATTCAAATGTTTTCTTTTTTAGTATTGATGACTGTACTGAGTTACTTTTTGATGCAACACTGAGACTGCCCAAGACCTAAGCTGCGTTAGGGATAAGTCCATTCCCTTGGGTTGAGTGAGTGATTGTCATACGACAGCATGCTCAACCCTATCGAGTGGAGGATGTTAATTCACATATCCATGGTTTAGTCTGGGGGAGTAGCATGCTATCTCTCGCTGCAGATAGAGGAATAGCTATACAGAGGTAAAAGATAAGTTGCAAAAGAAATTCCAGTTGCATGCAAATGAAAAACATGTTCCATAGTACCATATGGAAAAAGCTATGGAAGAGCAACAGCAAACTCAAGTGTGAAACAGTGAATCCCTTCTTCCTACCTCACTGAGCTTGGCAAACTTTAGCAGGCCAGTGGAAAACAAGCAAACAAATGGCAATAGAAAAAAACCCCTTATAAATCAGGCTAACAGGAAAATAAGGCTGCAGCTTATTCTTTCTGGGAATAAGCAACTCTGATGAAGGCCCCCTGTCTCCTTTTTGAAATAGCTCGCTGAGGGTTGTGATGCCTACGAAGAAGCATTTGCTCAGCGAGGGAGCAGCTGTCAGCTGCATGCTGGTTTTTCCTCCCTGGGAACAGGCTTTAGCACACTGCGATATGGGCAATGCTTCACAGTTACTGTAAACACTTAGGATATTTATCGTGTATTGTTTATGCCTACATGACATCTATTGTTTTAAATCTGACAGCTGAGATAACTGTCTGTGATTACAATGAAGCTGCACTGATTTTCTAAGGTGGAGATACGGCT